GATTCATCCATGGATATTCACACGGATAGCCCGCCTCATGAATCTTATTGACGACTGCCTATCTCATGCATATTTAGTTCAAGAGCTGTAACTGGTGCAGCCTTAAGTCTCAGTTCTGCAACTTTCGAGGAAAAAGGAAAGAACAGAGGCTAGTTAAAGTTCTTCTAATCAGTCATGCCATGCCAAGAAATGCATGTGACAACAAGTTGAAGCTATATATGAATTGTGTGCTTTTGATCACTTTTTACTGTGTCTAACTATTTCTTTTTTTATTGTGATCTGGATGGACTTAGATATGAATGTTTTATATGTGATACATGTTTTTGGATCTGGTAATTGCATTGTACATGAATAGGAGCTTCGCGAATGTAATTGTCTTATAGTCCTAGTAGTTTGTCTATGGTGCCATGGACCATTCAATCTGCCACACAAATTTCCTGCTTCCCCACGGACATTCTGACCTCTGTAATATATACTGGTAATTTGGTTGTATTTCCGTGTTTGTTCTTGTTTGTATTGTGAACATGTTTGATCTGTGACAAGTTCCTCACAAAGTATATAAGAGCGAGCAGGATTAGTGACTAATATATGGGATGAGAACAGGGAACATGATGATGATGATAGTAAAGGTAAAGGTAATCCGTTCCTGACGTCACCGGCGACGTGTACTTGTTAGGTGTCGACGTCGCGCCTGCCGCCTTCCAAACCGCCCGCTACTGCTTTTAATTTACTGAGGCACTCGCTTTCACGTCCTAATCGGCCCTTTTTCGAACAATCTTGTCCGTCAGATATCTAGAACTATCGCATCATTCACCGTTAGATCTCAAAGCATCAATTTGTTTTCCCTGAAAAGGTCCGGCAATTATTGTACATAAATCCCATAATTCTATGAGGTCCTTAAAAGACCTCTCTCCGTCTTTCTTTCTCGCGTAATCCCCCGATCCCTTCGCAATTCTCCTCCTCTCGATCGATCTACCGCTTGTTGTTAGGTTCTTCGATCTCTCTCTCTCTCTCGGTACTCCAAACCCCTCTCTCCTTCTCGATCCATGCATCGCTTTTACAGAATTCCTCTCTCGGTTCGAGTGGATTCGCGATAATCCAGTATGGTGAGCGGTTCTCCGATTCACATCGACTAGGGTTTTGATTTGGATAATTATTGATTCGTGAGCAGGTCGAGGAGGAGGAGACCGCGGTCGGATTGGAGCATCAGCAACAACTAGGGTTCCGTTCTTCTTCTACGGGCATGGAGCAGGAGGGGCAGAAGCGAGAGACCGGGAAGACGGATTTGCAATCTTCCAACATCCCCGTCCTCTGCGCCAACAACTGCGGCTTCTTCGGAAGCCCGGCGACGAACAATCTCTGCTCCAAGTGCTACAAGGATTACTTCTTGAGCAAATCAAAGGCTTCCATGGAGACGCTTGTGATTCCGCCGGCCCTTGAATCTAAGCGGGTCGACGAGAAGCCTGGCGGAGATGACGGAATCGCTAAATCTGTGAACTCGAGTGAGGAAGGGGCCACATCGGAAGGGGGGGGCCCTTTGCCGAAGAAGAATCCCAACCGTTGCAGCTTCTGCAATAAGAGAGTCGGATTGATGGGGTTTAAGTGCCGCTGCGGGGAGGTGTTCTGCTCGATCCACAGGTACTCTGATAAGCATAACTGTGCCTATGATTACAGGGCGGCTGCGCAGGACGCGATTGCAAAAGCCAACCCCGTGGTGAAGACGGACAAAGTCGAGAAGATCTAATGGTTGTGTGGGCAAGTTGGGGCCTCGTTGGTATGTTACTGCAAAATCATTATGACTCAGTGTTCCTCGAGAATAACTTGTTTATGTCTCTTTACTGCCGCCGTCTGGATTCGTGTCTGGGGTTATGTACAGTTTGGTTCATTTAGTTGGATTGTCTGGTTATTGATTGCATTTTCTATAATCTTGTACTCGGCTTTCTAATGTGAGTGTTAGGTGTTATTGTTTGTGCTGATTTCGCTTTCCGTTCCATAGATAGGTGATGCGAACACTCCATTTGATTGACAATCAATCATCTTCTCAGGTAAATCAGGTAACCTTTAGACTAGTTCTCTGGTTTAGGGTCCGTAAGAATCTGACCATCATCTCTTTTAAGGGATGTCACTTCTTTTAGCTGCTGTGAACACCTTTGGGCATGAAGTGTGTGAAGTGGTTGAGATATAGGGAGGGGAACTTAAATTTGAAGCTTGATGCTTAGTTAGTTATGTGGATACTGCAACAAAGCCACAGTCCTAATCATAACTCCTATCGAACAGCATAGAATGGAAGATGTCTCTTATGATAATCATTTGTTTGATGGAAGGTCAAGCATCTTATCAGGTAAATCAGGTGACATTGAGAATAGTTCTCTGAGTTAAGGTCCATAAGAATCTTATGGTTGTGGGCATCTTTGGGCATAAATTATATAAGGTGGTCATGCTTTCTTCTTAAGAAATTGATGATTTATTTGTCCTTCATACTTATCCAAATTATTAAAGGTTCCACCTTCATCTTAGGCTGTAGTTGCACATTTGCCATCCACCGATAATTTGATCAGGGATCAAACTCAGAAATGTTTTGGAAAATTTTGTTTTAAAGAGAGACTTTGAGTGAGGTTTGGAAATATAGTTAGTTCCGTGCAACAATTTGAAACAATATAGTCGTTATATTCATGAGACTTTTAATGACTACCAAACATAATCATCATTCATGTGTACAAGAGAAGCGATAGGATGATGCTTAGTTAGTAACTGATAAATCAGATGGCTAATTAGTTAAATTTTCAACTATGAGATTTAAGTTTTAACCACTGAAAGAAGCAACTCACACAGGATCAAGCAGCTAGCGACCTTGAAATAGCAAATCATCGTGAGATAACTCACAGAGACCTATGCGATAGTTCATCTGTAAGAACTTTTTAGTTGAATCTTTATGGATTATTCAGAAATCTCTTAGAAATAAACTTTTTAGTCTTCTTCTCTTATCTGACTTTCTTCACAGGAATTCATTGTACTTGCACCGTCCGAAACTGTTCTGCTTGAACTTATGTACCCTCCCGTGCCTGTGATTTTCATGGTGTCTGTGTTTTATTGATGTTCTGTCAGATATAGAATCAAACATTTCATTCTGGTTGGATTGACCTTCAGTCACTTATTTCGCTGGTTTCCGTGCATCTATCTGCCTCAGACAATGACTATTAAAGCATGAGAAACGTAGCTTATGGGGCTATCATAATTAATTGTACAGACCTTATGTGCATGGTTACCATCTTAATCGCAGTATAAGGCTCATCGATGTGTTTATAGATCTAAGAGATGGAGAATTCTTGAATGGTTATATTAATCCCACCTCTATTGCAAACCAAATTTTGTTGTGTGTCTTTAATTCTGAGCATTCAATTGGAGTCCTTTCACAATGTGATCAAAGGGTATTACATTTACATGTTGCATTCAGTAAGTCAGATTCATGTTGATATGATTTTTGGTGTTCCTGTAATCAAAAAAGTATAACTTCACTTAGTTTCTGGGAAAAGTTACACAATCACAATGTTCATTTGACTTGTAACAGGTGGATACAATTGAAGTTAGATGGATTGAAGTGTGATTGCCAACTTACAGATATTAAGGGGGATGATGGTGGTGGTAATCGAAACTCAGTCATTTCAATCACTTGTTTGGCATCTTTGCATTTCATAATTGCATTAGCATTCAACCATTAGGGAAGCAATCTAATGAGAGTCAGCATGGATTGCAAAAAGAGCTATGATCTGTTTTGAAGTTTAATTAAATCAGAATGGCATGCTGTTCTTTCTGTATGACAAAGCATTTGTAGTTGTATGTGCATTAAAGAAACATTTCTGTCAAATGTTTTAATAGTTTGATCAGAGGAGTTTAATTGACATCAATCACCTAAACAGTGTGATGCTTGTAGAGAACGAATCATGCAAGAGCATACTAAGATATCCAGTAGACTAAGACCTGTACAAGGTGCAGATGGTGAAACATCAATCATAAGTAATAATAATAAGCAACAAATATTGTCTTTACGCTGTTATGTGATGAGATTTGTCATTTTTGGCCAAATAATGCCGTATTGATTTGAACATGGAATGCACAACCCATCATGAATCTCCTTTTTCTATTGCAACGTTTGACGACACATGCTAATATACTTCTTCGCACAGGCCCACTCTATATGTTAATTAATAGGACGAGGATAGGAAGGCAAAAAGGATGCGACTTTCCATGCCCTCCCGTGGCTCGACATTCTCCAATGATATCTCCCTCGTATTCCATCAGCCGCCTTTTCTCGCGTTCATACAAAAGCTCCCATTCCAAGCAAGCTAAACTACGAACACCAGGTGACGTCACTCTCTACCTCTTCCTTTAAACAATCGGCGACTCGGAGACCTGACAGCCAAGTGCCAGGCTGTCACCATGACGTTGCTAGTATGAGATCCCTCCTCTAATTAATCCGACCAATTAATGCTTCGTTACGTATATGTATATATATATTCTTGTATTAATAATTATTTAAACCCAAAATTGATGGATAATTGAGGTAGAAATAAGGGCATTGGAGGAGCATTGCATGACACCGTAGCATTAAAAGCACTAAGCAACCTAGTGCTCGTATCGGTTCCATCTGGACCTAGAAACCATGCATCAAGATTCGAAATTAATATCGTCATTAAACAACCCAAGATTTGGGTCTGATCCCCACCGCACCCCAATCTCGCCACGTCTCATTGGACGGTGATCTTTTGCGCGAATCCTACCCACTCGCATCATCCTTCGCGCGCGCGCCCTCCGCACGATCTTCTTGATGCGCCAGCCCATGATCGCCGTTCAGATCGTTGAAGTTCGCATCTTAAAGCTGTACCGGCTACGGGTGGAGTGGAATCCGCCCCTCCCCTGTCGCCCTCACACGATATAAATAGAGATCGATGGGTTCCATTTGACGAGAGGGTTCGTCCGCGTCGTCACCACGAGAGCGAGGAAGGAGGAGTGTGCCTTCCTTTTGTTCTTGTATGGAGAGGCGAGTGGCAGTGGAGGGAGAGAAAGGGATGGAGTGCACGATGGAGGCGGCGGCGGCGATGGGGGTGGAGAAGGCGTCCAGGTTCCGGAGGATATGCGTGTTCTGCGGGAGTCAGTGTGGGAAGAAGCCCAGCTATCAGGAGGCCGCCGTCGAGCTCGGCAAGGAATTGGTAATGCCTCGACAAATCTTTTCCTCTAGTCCTATGCTCCGCTTGTTCTCCCTGGGTTTTCCTGTTATTCATTCCCCTCTCTTCGTTGACACCGATCAAAGATTGCACAACTGAGGCGTCAGGCCAATCGGTTATGTCCTTGTTTCGAGTTTAGGGCTTTGTTGGCAGTTCATCGATTTTGTAATGGATTCGAATGCAACAGTTCTCGATCGTTGCTCCTTTTGCTGCTGGTGCTTTGCTTAACGGTTTCATCTTTACCACCAAAATTCGATATTTTTTTCCCCTCTCATTTGTTCTCGCCGAGGAGATGGGGGATAGGGAAGGGCTCGCAGGCGATGCAGGCGGGCATGGTGCGTCCGTGCGGTGGGAGGATTTCGTGGTTTCGCATGAGCGGTTGCTAGCTGTAATCTGGCTGTCTGTTGAGAAGCCTTCCTGCGTGATCTCTGTCAACCAAACGAAAGAATAGAAAGCGAACAAGAATCCGTTTTTTAATGGAGGAGTCTTTCAGAGCCATTCCATGGGAGAGAAACGTGCTGCCTCCAAATCATGACTCATCACCCTGCTCCCCGCATTACTCCCCCCCCCGTTTACATGAGCTTTCCATCCCATGTCTTTTCATCTGGGGTTTCATGGCTTTCCTACTTTTCCTTTGATTTATTCCTCTTCAATCTCAGGGTGATGGCTACCAGAACTTGACAAGCACGATGTGCTTGGCTGCTCGACACGTGTTGTCTGATATTTTTGTTTCCATTTTGTTGCGCTGCAGGTGAAGAATGGCATCGACTTGGTGTATGGAGGAGGAAGCATTGGATTGATGGGCCTGGTCTCTCATGCGGTTCATGATGGAGGGCGCCATGTCTTGGGGTCTCTCTCTCTCTCTCTCTCTCCCTCTCATCTGTCATGTTTTGCCATATGTGAACTGTTTGTTTTTGGACTATAGTGGTGTGCTGGTTCCTTCTTCCCTCCTTCTAAAACGGCAACTTCTTTACTTTTTTGTCCTTTACTTCAGCTAAGTCTTAGTGTAGTGTGAGGATTCGTCTACCTGCTTGCTGTTCATTGTACTTCACCACAGGCAGAGAAGTGGTGCTATCTGGAATGGAAGATAATGCATAGCCACAAAAATGGGATTTCTGATAGGGTTTCCCAAACTCTGCTTCTTACCCAATGGCTTAATTTGTTTGTTAACAGATAGTTCTTTCCACAGAAAAAAGATATTTTCTGTCTTTTTTCTGGATGAATATGATAAACATCTTGTGTACATTCCTGCTCCATACTCTATCTTCATCCTGTAATTTCAAATTATCATGTGTCTTTGACAACGAAAATCTATATATCTTGGTCATTACTGGATAAATATTATAAAGGCCATGTGTATGTTCCTTTTCCTGTAGTCCCTCTCTTTATCTGGTAATATTAAATGATCTTGCTTGTCTTTACACAGAGAAGTTGAAGGTTTTGGTTTACTCGCGAGCTAAATTGATCATATTTCTGTGTTTCAGGGTTATTCCGAAGTCCTTGATGCCAAAGGAGGTGAGTTTGTCTCAAAAATTACCTTTCCTTTTTAATGAATTATTGCTAGTATCTAATTTTTCCTGCCTGTTTTTATGTAACTGATTATGTAATTTGAACTCTTATCGTTTTGCAATAGTTGAGTGCTTTTCTGTGTGGATCTGAACAATTCTGGAAGTGGAATTGGAATTGCATTTTTCTGCATGCTTGAATCTATAATTCACTAAATTGACTAGTTTGCACAATACAGTTAACTGGTGGAACAATTGGAGAGGTTAGAGCTGTATCAGACATGCATGAAAGGAAAGCGGAGATGGCTCGCCAAGCAGATGCCTTCATTGCTTTGCCTGGTATAAGTCTTTCAGCTCCTTATATCATTTACCGGTTCTTCGATGTTTGTATTTGTGCCACTTCAATTTTATACCATCTAGTAATATCAGTCACACATCAGGTGGATATGGCACACTTGAAGAACTACTTGAGGTCATTACATGGGCTCAGCTTGGAATCCACAAGAAACCGGTACTGTTAAGAATCTAATCCCTATTTTGTAGGGAATGATGTGCCAACTAGCTTTAGAAAAATTGCTACAGAATGGAATTTATTCTTCAGTTTGTTGCTGGTGGTACATTTATTTCAGCCCCTGTAGCTGTTGAAAGTGTTTTCTTGTGTTAACCTTGTCTATGATTGCCAAAAGTTTAAATGTGTTCGTGCCTAACATGCCTTTCATTGTTTAGTTACATATACTACAGTCCATCATAATATTGCTCCTTAATACAGATTACAATGATGCATGCGTATCTTGCTTTGGCCGCGAACTATAGCTAAGGAATTTGTTGCTTGCTCATCTTCTAGATGTTGCTTAATTTATTTTAGAATGGGCAACAATTTAGTCAAATCCATGTTTTCAGCAATGATCCAGTCCAATAGTTAAGGAGGATTGCAATCATAAAAAAGATTTCATTGGGACACCAATCATGGAGTAGTCTAGAGCTTGCAGCAAGTTTGGGTTCTTCCAACCTAAGCATATCATACATGGATTTAGTTGCACTAACACTTCAGCTACAGAGACTATCATAAATTTTTTGGTGATGATTATTGGATATCCACATTATGTTACTTAATACTTGCTACATTGACCTACTTGTTTGGTTGATATCTGTCATATTAAATGTGCATTCACATGTATACTTTATGTTTCTTGCTGTAATCGCATGTTCTCTGAAGCAGCAAAATTATTGACTCACCAGGTTGGACTACTTAATGTTGATGGCTTTTACAATTCGTTGTTATCTTTTCTCGACATGGCTGTTGATGAAGGGTTCATATCGCAAGCTGCACGTCACATCATTATATCTGCCCATTCAGCCAAGGAGCTACTGAGGAAACTTGAGGTAAATATCAATGCTCAAAAACAATGAAAAGATTATTCTGATTTGGTGCATTGAAAAGCCTGTTGTCAACTTGTGATTCACACAAAACTTTCATAAAACCTTCCAACTTAAGTATCTGCGTGTGGTCTGTTGTCCACATGTTCCTCTCTGCTTATATATACCAACAACGATGCCCTGTTTATTATAATTTATTCCAACTAATTGATTAATCATTTGTTATTTATCCAAAATACTACTCTTTGATGGTAAATATTGCGCTTTATCAACAAATATTTTTTTAAGGGATAATTCAAGGCATGCAATTTTTTTCTTTTCTTCTTTTTGGTGCATGTATTGTGAATGAAAACATTTACTTAAAAGTTTCTTCAGTTGCTATAGCAAGTCATGATTCGAGTCTCGACGAACATGTTCATGTTCAGAAATCCACTGGACCGCTGCTAAGCTAACAATTTACTTGAAGAGAAGCCAAATAAATGTTGTCAAATTGTTGTGATTTGAAATTTTTGTAGGAATATGTTTCAGAGTATGAATGCACATTGGTGTGGGATGCTGAGAAGAAGCCACTGAACTTTGCCCCCGAACCAGAGTCCGGTGTTGCTTCCTAACCTGCTCTCCTTCCCATGCTCTTCAAACAAGTGTAGGACAAAGTACGACTTCAGAGTAAATTGCTGGCAGGACTTACAAGTTAAATGAACAACCTTTGTGTAGTCTTCTGTATTTAATCAATCGGCATAGTTCGGACACATAGAAGGAAGTTGTCAGATTGTATTCAAATTCTTCTGCAACTTGTAAGCTTTGGTGTTGCCACTTTCCCGTATCAAAATTGGCATCTTTACATCACCATGTGAAGAGTAATTGATCCCCATGAATTGGTACACAGATCCAAGCAGCTCCTACATAGAACAGAGTGCATGTATCTTCATATTCCATGATCATAACCTTGTGTGGGAAGTCATCTTCCTAGTGATGCATCGAACTTCCTGTGTTTATATCATCATTTTGGAACTTCTGTTTCCTGTATCTGTGCTTTCTTTACTTGGCTTCTTTTTTTGCGCATTGGACAGAGGATGAAATCTTGAGTTGGTATTTATGTCTGAGATAAAAATATGGGAAGAGAAATAAAAATATATATAGTATGTTTGACGTTATAATCTATAGAAGCGTATGTTATATGCCAATCATGATTAATCTAATTGATGTTTGACTGCTGATGACAAGGAAAATATAATATTTTTATTCTGTGAGAAATACTGATAGAATCATCGCAGATTTTAATTGTTTTATTTAGCCTTCAAAAATAAAAAAATGGAATCGAAGATGCCTACGTCAGAAACATCGGGCCCCATCGGTGGGTCCCACGCCAATTAATGCCCCGGAAGAACATTTAAGAGACGGCCACTTCAATGCATGCTTTTACTTCCTTTATAATGATGTCGAGTGCCGAGGCCGCGAACATCTAATCGACCCGAAAACAAAGCGCGTACCGACGGAGCCATGCAACGGAACGCTACGTATGCTGCACACCGAAACCCCACGACAAGAGGCGTAGCTGTGAGTTCGTTCGTTCGTTCGTTCGTTCTACAGGTAGACCAACAAAAATCTAATATCACATGCATCTATCTATCTATCTATCTATGCCCGATCGTAATCCGCCTGACCTTAATCCTTGGAATCAACAAACATACAAGATCTGTCTTTTATTGATGCTTTTATTTCCCATTCAGATGCCCATCGCCTCAGATGGAGACAGGATACCTGTGGATGCAGTCCTTCCATGGGTTGTCGGGGTCGATTCTGGAATCCCGCAGCGCCCTCCACACCACGCTGCACGCCTTGAACCCCGTCCCGAACGCCAGCATCCACACCCTGTCGCCGCTCTTTATCCTCCCTTTGGCCTCGAAGTAGGCCAGCTCGTAGAACACCAAGCTGCTGGAGGTGTTCCCGAACCGGTGCAAGCACATCCGCGCCGGCTCCACCACCTCCTCCTCAAACTTCATCAACCGCCCCACCGCGTCGATCACCGCCTTCCCCCCGGCATGGATGCACATGTGCTCGAACGCCGTGGTGAAGTCCGGCACGTGCACCGCCTTCCGGTCGCCCGCCAGGAACGACCTCGCGACGTTGTAGACGTAGCGGAGGAGCTCCGAGACCGGAAGCACTCTGGGTGCCAGCCTCGAGATGTGGTTCCTCAGGCCGACGCCGGCCACCCGAACTAGGTCCTTGGTGAGCGCGACACCGACGTGGCCGTCCTCGTCCTCCATCTGGATGGCCGCGTTGTAGGCTGCGTCGTCGGCGCCGTGGTGGGTGCGGAGAGTTCGCATTACCTCCATCTTCGCTCTCTCCCGCTGCGCTGGGTCGCTGGTGACCAATGCGGCCGCAGTGCCCGCGCGGAAGATGCAGTTGGTGACGAGCATGTGGCGGTTGTCCCCGAAGTACCAGTTGAGGCTGGTGCTCTCGGTGACGACGATGAGAGCGTAGCCCACTTGTCGACGAAGTATTGTAGCGGCGAGGTCCAGGGACATGGTACCGGCGCTGCAGCCCATGCCGGAGAAGTTGAAGGTTTTGACGGAGGGCGAGAGCTGGAAGCGCTGGACGAGCATGGATGTGAAAGAAGGGGAGGGGGAGAACATGCTGCATGCGGCGATGAGGACGGTGATACGGGAGGGATCGACGTCGGTCTTGGCCAGCAGATGCGCCACGCAGGAGAACATGCCGTCCTCCGCTTCCAGGATGGCGTACTGGAACTTAGCCTTGTAGTCGGTCTGGAAGATGAAGGGCGGCGCGTAGGTCTCATCCCCTAGGCCGGACTTGCGGTAGATGGCACGCATGAATGCCTCGCTCTCGGCGGAGTGTTGGCAGCTGCGGCGGCCGAAGTACTCGCAGATCTCATAGCTGCCACGGCTCTCCGGCCCAGGCTTGTGGCAGCTGAAGTCCAGAAGGTAGACAGGGAGCGGGCGAGCACGAGCGTAGGCAAGGAGCGCTACCAACTTGCACCACAGGAGGGAGAAGAGGAGCAGCTTGTGGCGGGAAAGGAAGAGAAGCAATCTCTGTTTGGAGGGGAGAAGGGAAGCGAGGGTGATGGTTATGGCCAACAGGACGAAGACGGTAAGCTTGAGGAGTTGGATCGGAGTGCTGCGTGATCTCATGGTCACTGGATTTGCTGCACCTAAAGAGGGGGAGCGGGAGGGGGGGGGTGGTCAGTATGCAGCGAAGCTGGGGAGATGAACTGCACTGCGTTTCTTTTATGGGAAAAGAAGGAGATATATAAAGGTACAGAGGCTTTGAAGAGAAGAGGAGGGTTACAGCTGAGAAGGAAGGTAGGGGTTTGGCATGTCGGAATTGATGAAGTCGACCTAATTTTCTGAGATCAGCAATTATAGTCTACAGGACTATCCTGATGGGGCGGCATGGGCTTGTCGTCATGGTTGGCATTCACATCTGCGAGGGGCGTAATGCCATGGAAATCAATGGACCTTGTTCCTCAACCACCATGAAAACATTGCTTGCCCTAATGCACCACCCTCCTCTTGTTTGCTAACACTCGAAAGACCATCGACCACCTACCTTAGATCAGACCAATTATATTGTTCTTAGACTGTCACATTGTATTCGGTATTATAGAATAGACGATTTCTCTCAACAGAATAAAGAGATTTCCTCGTATAGTTGAAAAAATCTTATCTTCTATCAATAATAATTTTGATCTGTCAAAAGAAAGAGCGAGGATGGGCCATGGAATCGTTCCATGTTGCTGTGAGTAATGATTGAATACCGGGAGTATGGCGTATCCTAGGGTTCCACATTCTACGCTGGTTGGGAGTATGGCAGCGGAGGCTACGTGTTCCAGAATGGTACTGTGTAGGGGGTACGGGAAGGGGACACGGAGGCATCGAACTGAATCATGGAGGCGAGGAAGTCCGCCGATGAGCATTGATTGCTCACATGCCTATTTACCCGAGAAATAAATATATGAGAGCGATCGATGGTGGTAGTGCGTGTCAATGCTGGGATGGGAATGACAGGGATGATAGAAAGAAGAAGAAAGGAGTTGGTATGGCCTTCCAGTCTAAGATGTGTTCCACGAACATGAACAGCGTTGCACATTTGAAGCTGGACATGCTTCGTCTTCCTCCCACTCTGTGAGCTTGCACGCACGGTCGTTCTTGCGACTGCAGCTGCCGAGATCACCGGCATTTTGAGATCAAGAGAGAGAGAGAGAGAGAGAGAGGAGTTCGTATGACCTTCCAGTCTAAGATGTGTTCCACGAACATGAACAGTGATGCACATTAGAAGCTGGACATGCTTCGTCTTCCTCTCGCTCTGTGAGCTTGCACTGTCGTTCTTGCGACGACAGCTGCCGAGGTCACCGGCATTTTGAGATCTAGAGAGAGAGAGAGAGAGAGAGAGGAGTTCGTATGACCTTCCAGTCTAAGATGTGTTCCACGAACATGAACAGTGATGCACATTAGAAGCTGGACGTGCTTCGTCTTCCTCCTGCTCTGTGAGCTTGCTCTGTCGTTCTTCGACGACAGCTGCTGAGATCACCGGCATTTTGAGATCTAGAGAGAGAGAGAGAGAGAGTTGTTATCCAGTAAAACCACAGTGTAACTGGTTTCATGTTGGTATCATAAACATGCTGCCGTGAACATGGCAAGGCTAGTAGAAAGATAAACCATCGTCTTCCTTCCGTGCTGTGAACTTGCACTGTGCTTGCAACACACATCCGAAACAGTGTCGAGACGAATCCGCCTGCACGTTTTCGGTTGGGAAGATGAGTTTAAGACGACCATCACTTCATCGACGCATCGATGGAGTCTGGAAACACAAGTCATAGCTGGATTCGAATGGTACGAGACCCGTCGACTGGTCTCTGTTACTTGGTGAGACAGAAAACTCCATGCACGTACATTAACTCTATGTGGGGAGAAGCCATTGATGAGCAGCGCTGGAGGTGGCCGAAGAACACAACATGTGAACATTTAATTCCACTGACGAAAAGAGCTCACTGACAGAGAGTGACAATAAACCCAAACAGCAGCATTAGTCCTTTCGATGCAGAGCAGAGAGGAACTGTGCTTCGTCCTCTTCATGTGGAACTTCCTGAACCCATTCCGTCTTCGAGTCTATCACAGAGCTGAAGGAGGGGGGGCTCGCCATATGAATTCTAACCTGTGTCCACAACCATTAAGGCTTATTATAGGCTCATCATATTTCTCCTCTCCTTGGACGGCTCATAATAATCAGCAATAAGTATATTCAATTTAGAAATAAATTAGGATAAAATTAAAAAAATTTGATGCAGAAGTAATTTAATTTATTTATTATTTGAATAAATTTTATTAGTTTAGAAATATTTTTCGACATTTAAAGGCAAAGAAAAACAAAACAAATGTAAAAAAAACGAAAGAAATTAGATTTATTCTTAATTGAAGATTATGATTGAAAATTCATCTCTACAAAGATGACAATATATCAATCAGGAATGAAAAAATTATTTTTTAAATATTAATAAATAATTTTTTATTTAAATTAAAATATTATAATACATCAATAAAAAATAAATCAATGAATTGAGTGCTTTATTATTATTATTATTATCTACAAAGACGGAGGCCTCCCACTAAATGCCCAAGCAAGGAGCCCCTTCCGGAGAAAACGAGAATCCCGTCGCGATCGGACCATCGCAGTCGGCCACTTCAGCAGTCTCAAGGGTCGTCCCAGGAAGATCCCCAATCATTCGGCCCCGAACCTAGCAGCGTCGGTCACGAGGCCACGGCTTAAGGTTGTTTACCCTAATAGTACTGATTATAATCTCCCTAAGAAATCTGTCTATTTCAATAACATTTAAAGAATGAACCAAGCTTTCCTCCCAAGTTGTGTTACTTCATGCTACCTACCGAGTACAACAACAGCAGCAGTCTCTTGAACCTGGGGAAGAAGAACAGCTTCACCAGTGAGTGCCATGAACCGAAGAGTGTCGTCAGATGAGCTCCAAGTTAGGATCATAGCCCACCCACTTGAGTTGTAGGCTTAACCCGTCAACCGCCTTGTAGATCTCGTCGCAGCTTGGATGAGAGGTGTCTTCCACCAAGAACTTGTGAACTGCACCCTCCAATTCTATCCAGCTATAAGCATACAGCTTCTGCACATTTTTGCACCTCATTAGATCCCTCATTTTTCTTGCTTCCTCCCATCTACCTGCATTGGCATATATGTTGGAGAGGAGGACGTAGTTGGAGGAGTTATTTGGTTCCAGCACCACTAGCTTCTTCACGGCGACCTCGGCAAGCTCGACGTTGGGATGGATTCTACATGCACTCAGCAGCGTGCCCCAGATGACAACGTTCGGCTCCGTTTCCATCTCGCAGATGAACTTGTAAGCGTCTTCCAAGCGCCCGGACTTACAGAAGAGGTCAACTATGCACGCGTAGTGTTCGACCCTTGGCGCAATCCCATGCTCTGGCTTCATACTGCGGAAGAACGCAAGCCCCTGTTCGACTCGGCCGGTGTGAGTGCAGGCTGTTAATAACCCGACGAAGGTTACGTCGGTCGGCTTCAAGTGTTGGTCCCTCATCCGGTGATAGAGATCGAACGCCTCTTGTGCGAAACCGTTGAATGCTAGCCCGGCGATCATCGAATTCCAGGTAATGACATCCCTTTGCTTCATCTTGCTGAAGACCCTACGAGCTCCTCCGATGTTGCCGCACTTGGAGTACATGTCGACCAGCGCCGAGCCCACATACACCCCTGATGCCAATTCCTGACTCTCGATGTAGCTTCCTATATGCTGTCCGAATTCTACAGAGCCCAGTTGCGCAGAAGCAGACAAGACACTGACGAGAGTGACCTCGTTGGGCTTGCAGTTCTCCGCCTTCATCCTCTCGAAGAGCTCGAGCGCCTCATCCGGTCTTCCATTTTGGGCGTAGCCGGCGATCATGGCGCTCCACGCCACCACATCTCTGTGTACCATCTCATCAAACTCCCGACGTGCCTCGTCGACAGCCCCGCACTTGACATACATCTCCAGCACTGCGGTCCGCACGATCAAGTCCATCGTCAAGCCCATGTCGCTGATCAAGCACTTGATCTTCAACCCGGTTTTCAGGTCGCCCAGCTTCGCGCATATGGACAACAGCGTCACGACGGTGATCTCGTTCGGCCGAGCCTTCTCCTTCAGCATCCGCTCGAACAACGTCAGGGCTTCCGCGAAGTTCCCGCTGTGGGCGTAGCAAGAGATCATCGAATTCCAAGACGCCGATGTCCTCTTGGTCATATCGTCAAACAGTCGTCGCGCTTCGACGACATCTCCAGCTTTGGAGTACCCCGAGATCAAGCAGTTGACGATGACCGGGTCCTTGAATGTTATCTCATCGAAGGCCCTCCGAGCGGAACCCAGATCGCCGGTCTTGCAGTAGAAATCGATTAACGCCGCCTGAATGAAGACATTGGAGCCAAATCCGCGAAGCAAGACGTGACAATGGACTTGCTTGCCTTGGTCGGCGGCCGGCAACCGAGCGCACGATTTGAGGACAGGCGGGATGGACAGGAACAAGATGGGACTCCCCTTGCGGTGGGCGGAATAGAAGGCCGCGAGGGCCTCGCGGTGGAGGGAAAGCTTGGAGCAGGCGGAGACGACGCTGCTGCAGAGGTCGGAGTCCGGTTGGGGAAGAGCATCGAACAGCTTGCGCGCGTGCCTTACGGCGGCGGCGGAAGGGGAGAGGCCGAGGAGGAGACGGTCGAGGAAGAGAGGGAGGAGGTCGGGGTGGGACCGGAGGAGAAGGGCGTGGATCTGGGCAACGTGGCGGTGGTGGGGAGGGAGGGGGGGCGATCGATGGAGGAGCGAGATGACGCGTTCTCTCATGTATCGGAGTGCGGCGGTGAGGCGGACCCGAAAAGAGCCCAATCGCTGAGGTTTTGTTGGTAACGGTTGACGCTGATAACTGAGCTCCCGTTTCCATTATAATTCGATAGATAGCTGCTCAGACTGTAAATGCTTTTTTCTTTTTCGAAGGTGACAAAGACGAAATTTGGTATTTAATTCAAGTCTAATACTTTAAGATAGTCTATTAAAAACTTTGTGTGATAAATATATTGAACTACAACAACCCATTGTGTCTGCATGAGGGATGATATCAGGAAAAAATATTATTTATATCTTAGTGAAGTGATTCAGACTTGGAATACTCGAGGTATCTTCGAGATGAAAATATCGTGCTTCTAAGACATCATTTATATAAAGATCGAAGTCAAGAGAGGTTTTACGATCTGATCTATCATACACTCAAGTTAGTAATCTGAAATCCGAGTACTAGTTCTAGAGAGAGAGAGAGAGAGAGAGAGAGAGAGAGAGCTTTTCCCTATTCGAGTACTAGGTCATGTTTCCAAACTCACATGCCTCGGGCACATTTGGCCCTGCACCTCTACCTTTACGAATTTCTTCATGTGGGTCAGGTTTTTTTTACTCATGCATCTCAGGCGCATTTGGTCTTGCACCTTCATCGTGACGGATTTCTTTCCACGCGGATTAGATTTTCTTGACTCACACGCCTCAAGCACATTTAGCCCTATGCCTTTACCATAACAGATTTCTCTTTACATGAGTTGGGTTTTCTCGACTCACATATCTCAAGTATATTTTGCTCTGTCTTTCCACAATGATATAGTCATGTTTTTTTGACTCACACGCCTCAAGCACATGGCCTCACGCCTCTGTTATGGTGAATTTACCTTGGTGTAGGTTAGGCATTTCGACTTACATGCCTTGGGCACATTTGGCCCTATGCCTTCGTCGTAACGGATATATCTTGACATGAGCCATGTTTCATGACTCACATGCTTTGGGCACATTTTGCCCTACTTCTCTACCTTTGCGAATCTTTTTACATGGGTCGACCTCCACCCATTTTGTGTAGTCTTTTTAATAGTTCAAATCAATAGCATCTCAACTATTGACCAGCCTTCCCTCGGAGCTTGGGTGGAAGCTAACCTAGCTAGTGTGTCAACCTACGTATTTTCTATATGAGGTACCTACAACACGTTGAGTTGAGAGAAGCTTTGGGCTAACCACCTCACCTCGACAAGATATTATACATGGTCCTATATAGAGCTTCGTAACTCACATCAACTTGGCTCACGACCAATTGTGAGTCCTTGAACATTGTCGAGTCTTACACTTAGAGCTCTTGGATGAGTTGGAGCCCTGAGAGCACATCATATCTAGGAGATTTTGAAGACCTACTCTTGAAAACAGTGGTGATTTAGAGCACTCCCAATGTGGTTTTGACACTTCGTATATCTGTCGAACACATGTAATTGAAGGTGGTTTTGATAATACAATACTAATCGTCTCAATGAAGTGTCTAAATCACTTAGTATTGTGGTTTTAACACTTCATAACAGATATACGAAGTGTCAAAACAAAGGTGATTTAGAGCACATCATATTTAGCCTTATTATTCTTCAAAACCCTCATATACCCCCCCTTCCACTAGTCTTGAAAACCTACTTTCAATGAGCATCATGTAATTGAGAGAGACGAAATCTCACCTTCGTCACGATTGGTTCAACAAATAAGTCACCTTAGTTAGTTCGACATATATACAGAGCATCAAAACCACATGGATTACATACTCCTGACAACACAGATGGATCCATCGATGCCGTCCTATCACACAAGAAATGTCATTTTCATAATTATTTCAAGTGAACGGTTGGAAGTTGGTAGGAATACAAAGAGAACAACAAGGTTTAATAAAAGATGGAGGAGACAAGGGATTGGAATTCCAGTATGTGCGTTTATTGCATACATCATGCATGCCATGCTGTGATGCATGAACCCAAGGAATAAAAGTACAAAAGAGAAAAAACATCTAGTGGTAACATCTCAACGATAAAAAGAAACACCACATGTGCCTTTAATGCAACGAGTCTTTTGACTTGTAATTAATATTCAATAGATACGGTAGTTACAGCGGTCTTTGACTTGTGGTGAATTTTGATGTCAGTACAGGAACAGCAAACTGTTCTTCCACAAACAACTGCTTGTAATTTGGACAATTCCCTCAAACTGCAGGAGGGATTACAACTGCTTGTCTTCTCATCAATGTGCCCACAAATTAGGCGTCTGCAACCTAATAAGATGCATTTGGAATGCCCTATGTGCCTGCACCACATTTGAAATGGTAATTCGATACAACATTTGAAATGGTAATATGAAATCATTACTTCTATGTCACTGTCATTTAATGAATAAAAAACAGAGAAATTGCTGATGATTAGGAAACAGTGAAAAACATTGGATAGTAATGTGTTGTCCCATCATTCATAGGGTCCGGAAGGTCCTGATGATGCAGATGGCAATGGCATGAAGGCGATGAAAGCAGAGGCGCATGAGGAACCGTTTGGGTCTCGAGGAATCAGAGTGGAAGGAAAGTGAAGGTAGCCATGAAACATGTATGATAGACTACTGCAAATTGGAGCACTAGAGAGATAAAAAAATGTTCACTTGTGCTTCCAACCTAAATATTGCAATAGTATTTCATAAAAAGGCATGCAATGGCAAAAGAAACTTGTTATGATAAATCTTTTCCTGATCATAACCTTAAACTCACCTCAATAATTATCAATGATTTCTCCAGGTCATAGGAATTCATATTATTTACATCTGTAACGATGCATCTTATTTCATAGACTGAGAGCTACTGACCTCTGATTGTAAGGACTTGTGTTGCAGGAAGATGGGCACAATTCATCTTTCATTCAAATGGAATTGGAGTTCCTTGCTTCTTGTTTACGATCGCCATTGCCAGATACCGAGTACCCATACCGATGGGTGTCAGCTCGTCGGGACCCTCCCAGAATGGAGCCTCACCATCCCCTACAAGTCGCCAATAACCTGTTCTCAGAGACTCCGCTTGCTCCTCGGTGCAGTTCTGTAGAAGGGCTTCCACACGAAAGTTTATACCGAGGGAACCCAAGAACTGGGACTGGGTTATTGGACCGTGAACAGATATGTTATCTGCACCAAATCATATATTGTTAGGAAGGGAGCAAGATGCACTATGATCGAGATGCATAGAGCAGTACTAATTCCGACAAATTAAACAGTTTCTGCAACTTCGTGCTCCAATTACCTGAAACTTCTTCTGCAGAGTGCCTGATAGAAGCAAAATCAACATAGGCACTTAAATCAGCTGAACCAGGATTGTCTAGTATGTCAACAAATTTGTGCTTCCTGATGGCCTGCATATGTAAACAACAAAAACTAAGTCGTCGACCAAAGACACTTTGCACGAAACAGCTCAGAACAAATTAATCCACCGTATAAAGGAAGATAAAAATGCAGGCATATAAAACAAAACTCAATAGGCTTTTCAAGAATCCAAGGTTTGAAGGAAATAAATTTGGTTGAAGAAAACTGATACATCAACTGCTTCTTATTCAGCAATAAAACACTTCACCTGTAGACTATCTGAGATAAGTCCATCTTTGCCGTAGTCAACTATAAGAGCACCACCTCCATCTAAACTTATTCTTTTTGCAATTTGATGAGTCAGCTCCATTGCTTTTGGACATACTTCAATATGTTCCAGATCTCTTATTTCCTCAGAGGATGCCCATCGGCAGCGCTTTGTCAGATACAGTAGACTTGCAGGAGTAGGCTGCGGAGACAATACGAAGCGGAATCTGTTATGAAGAAAACAAATGATTTGAAGTTCACTGTATCATCCTCTCATGAAAAAAAGTGAAAATTACACCGATGAAAAAATTACTCAACACTTACAATGAATCTTCTGAGATATCTATCATCTTTTCACACCAACCTCGAGGAGATTTCTGCAATAAAATAATTAGAATCCTAAAAAAACTGCATTACAAGGGAGAGAGAGAGAGAGATCATAGGAACAATGTAGCCATGCATGCATAATTCATGTTCGTCAACATCCTCTTCTGCTTTAATTTGATTGGCACAATCAACTGCATGAGACATTTTTATTCTTTCAAATGGTGGACACTGTTAAAACTTGTACCACCCAATGTAGGGTCATATTTGTGCCATAGCAAACTAGAAGCACATGATTTAGCCAGACAAGTAATTGGTTAATGATCTGCTGGACTTTGCAAGGAGAACCTATAACTTAATGTCTATCTTCATAACAGCTGATACAAATCACACTGCTAAAATTAAAGTTGAGTGATAAACATGGTTGGTTTTAGGTGTGGGTAGCAAGGACATATTGAATCAACATAAACACAATAAAACAAGCCAGCAGGTCAATATTTCTTGACTTATTTTTGGCAGGTTAAGATGTATTTTGACTTAACCTTTCGGGGAAAAAAATTGGATATGAAATGGGTTGCACCTCACTGGCTCAATGTTAGAGAAGATACAGAGGACCTCAGATTATTCATCGTTACATATAGAAGTTTTAAGTCACTAATATCTCCTATCTGTTATTTACAATTAGGTTTTATTCTTCCTCTTTTTGTTTGGGTGTAGAGGTGAGGGTGTTTTGGTTTGATGCAGCAGTCCAGAATTGGGATATGGGTGTTTCGGGGAGGCCTGAAAAATCCATAAACTTTGTTTTTTTAATATTACCTGTTTAGATATGCTACATTGAATTTAAGCCAGAAGCTCAACATGTCGATAAACTGACCAAATGTTTTATGTGGGTTAATGAATCTCACATGATCACCAGCTAAATGAAGTCAAGCTGCATAACTAAGAGAACCAACATGATTTATGATAGAAAGTATCAAAGCCAGAAAAATGCAACTACTAAGGATTTAAGGCAATAGAGCCTGAAAATGCAACTAGTAAAAATTGGATGAACATAAGTTGTAAGACAAACCTGAAATTGGTGGACCGGTAGAGCATCATAAAATTCATGTGCAATTATAATGGTTGGCACTGAAAGCAGACAAGTGAATCAAATAATTATAATGTACTTGGAAATATTACGTGCTAAAGCAATATGAAATAGAGGGAACACAAAATGCAATAACATGAGAAACAAACAAAAAGCCAATCCAACATTTTTTAGACTATCTTTATTGTTATCATATGAATTCTTCCTGAAAGGATTTATGTTAGAGCCTCTCATTGACTTTGACCAGCTGATGCCAGAGAAAAACCATTTATTCATTTTCTTTGCAAGCTCTTGCAATAGAGGATAGGAGGGACATATATAGAGAATTTGGAAAATGCAGCACTAGAAAACCAATTTAGCAATAAAAGATTTTAGGTTAGCAGGACATCGTACATCCTAATGGAACCTGTTCCAGAGTGGCATGCCATGAAATAGAACTTCCAGACAACATGCTGATAGTCCTTTTAGCACTGCTGTCATCATTCATTGCTTCATCGGCACATTTTAACGTACTATATTGAACCTTCTGTAATGCAGGACTGCATTCCACCATGTGAATATTAAGAGATTTTGTAAATTTCAAAAATTTTGATGAGCTCTGCAAGAAAAACAAAAAAACTGCATCTCTGAGCTAAATAAAGGGTGTTTCAGCACTGCAAAATAAAAGGATATTTAAGCATGGCATTAAGATAAATATAATTAAAATTTGTCAATGTCGTGAAACAAATATAAATAAACTACTATCCTTACACGGAGAAGATCAGCCATGAGGGTCCCACGTCCTGGGCCAAGTTCAACAAGATTCACATTTTCTGGTTGTCCCATCTGCTCCCATAGGCACATAGTCCAGACACCAACCATCTGCAATGATAAGAGCAATCAAGATCAGCTTCTACCGTGGAGAAAAAGTAAAATATAGCTCCATGTGAAAACATGATGAACACTACTTTCAGCATGCATATAAAAGTAGCAATCACATTGTTGGTTACATGGCAGCAAACATTATCTGATGCTTTGCGAACCCTAAGGACACAAAATCTATCTCATTTAATAAATACAAAGCTACTTCCACACAAAGTAGAAATTAGAAAACACAATACCAGAAGAAACAGCTCACTTGCCCTTCAACTTTGACCCTTCAGTTTTGATCACTGCATCATTACTGAGGTTTTTGTCTCTTAGTTAATTTTTATTTTGTTTTTCTCCTTCTAAATATATCTGTCACATAACCATAAAATTCTTCTCAAGGGAACCACATTAGTCTCATACCACAGATGAGACACTCCTTCCTTCCCCTTCATTCCTTTTCTAACACATGGGATATGCTAAAGGGCAGCCCAGAATACAAGATCCCCAGCAATGCAGGGTTTGAGAGTGAGAGTGACAAGATGTGAAACCAAAAATTGAAACCTTAACACCAAAGAAAAGATGGTGCAACTTTACCACCAGAAGGACAAGGCTTGACCAGAGATTATACTTCAAGTTCAAGATAGGAACCATGGAGATGCAGAGTATCAATCTCCATATCCCTCACATTCTGAGTGTTTTACCATCTACACTACATCTCCTTTTGAACTAATGCCATAGCCAAAACCATATTACCATAAATTCTTACTAGCAAAAATTCATTCATCTTTGTTGCTCCTTTTTGATGCATAGCTACAAAACACAAATAATTTCCTATCACATGAATATGCTTAGAAAGAAAAAAGGGGCTTGAATCTATTACAATCATGACAAATTTCTTTTTTAGATTAATCAGAATTACTTAGTAGATTGATGTGTGAGAAAATCCTCTCTGCTAACAATGGTAAGGCTGCATAAAATTAGCCCTCCCTAGATCCCACATTGGTAGGAGTGTGCAATGAACAGATTTAAGTGTTAATTTTATAACTACAAGATTCTAATAAAAATCTGATATTAATTTTATCTAAGGAAATTTATTAGTTCAAAAGATTTGGCAAAATTCTCATACAGCCACAAAATATGAAGTTGCCAACCCTATACAAGGGGAATAGAAACAAGAAAATTTCTAAATGTATGAGGTTGTGATATAAGAAGTTGACTTTCCAAATTGCAGCAGAAAAGCAAACTGTTATGAGGAAAAAGGTAAAAGACAAAAAAGGCAGCAAATACTAGATAGGATCTCAGAGAGTCAGGTGGGGTAGAATATGCTAATGATGCTAGCCAACTGTTTCCTCTATATTTCCAAGTTCTGCAGTGTTAGGCAGACATGAGAACTCACTTGTCTCGTATATTTATGTATATATATCTTTATTTTGACATCTTGGTAAGAACAATAGAGATTGTCTATCACTTTATATCAATTAAATATCTGTAACCCGAAGTGTCTTATACAACATCACGATAGGTTATGATGAATGTCAAGGTTCTCTAGATGTGATCTCAAATGTCGGAGTTTCCATCTGTCCTAACATTAAAAAAACCCAAAAAGCTGAAGTTCCCAGCCACCAACAATGTGATAATTATTCTTCTTTTCTTTCTTTTATTCAGTTTATTCAGCTCTAGATGAACTTTGAACAAGCTAATGCATCAACCAAGGACCAGCTGCACACTAAATAAAACTGGAACAAACCATGCACTCGATTCTTTAAGTGAAACAATATCTACTTTAAGTAGATGCATGCCATGCCAAGCATGGGCCATTGTACAACAATGATATAGATAAAATTCATAATCGGAAAATAGTTTGTTTCACCAAAAGTAAATCTGTTATACCCATGCCTCTCTTAAGCTTGCAGCATCTTCAAATCTACATAGAAAATAATGATTTCAGCTCTATACAGCAAACAGTTATGTGTCTTTTGCCCTAAGCATATATCTTCAGTGTTTTGTCCTGAAAAATCAGGCATCTATGCATTTCTGCATAAGACATTTGCCAAGATAGGAAAAAATAAAGTAATAATGCAATAAACACCTTACATGAAAATATGTTATACATGTTTACCAGAATAACAATGTAGACCGAGAAACAAAGGTTCAGTCTGCCTGCCATGAAATTACCTCTCCAAACATCTGGCTCACGTCAGGGGAAGTAATAAAATCACCACCGGCTCCGAATACATCTCGGTTAATATAAAAACCTGATTGTGGATTAGTTAAAACTTCCTCCATGTACTCAGCAACTGATATAGGACCTCCACGAAACTATCAAATACAGATGGCAGAAAAAAAAACATTCATGGTATATACAAATACTGATCAGAACATATCAAGCATATGAAGTAAACTGTAAAAGTATGGAATCACTTCTGAAGGTCGGAAAACATCAAGCATGCCAAATACAAGAAAATATGAGCCAATTAAATGACAGGCCTAGTCAATTAAATTGGTTATTCTTAAGATTTGCCAAGCAAATGAACTAAACAAACAAGCGAAATGCTAACTGGAATTGTAACAATCAAGAAATCTCCTGGTGCAACTATAGTTAGTTTTCCAACATATAATTTCTAACATTAATATCTACAAGGCTAAGCAACCATGCAATCCAGAGAGAGTGTGTGTAGAATGAACTAAAAGCGAAGTACTTAACTGAATGTGATGCGGGAGTGTCTTTCAAAGATCAAATGAGGTCGTAACATCTTGAAACGATGTTAAACATATATGGTAGTATTTCCTCTACAATGAGCACAACTTTGACTGTACTACAAGTGTCAAGTCATGATTTCATGATAAATTAGATTGCCATCAGTAGTATCTAAGTACATGGTGAAACATCAAAGAGTTGGAGTTACAGCAATCTCCATCCTTAATTATCTATAACTTAGAAAACAGATTCTCTTTTCTAGAAACATCTTGTACTACCTGAAATATAGTTCAAGCTGCTGTCTAATCATTAATCTACCAAAATGAATAGTTAGTGCTGCCCACCACATTAGAGACTTAGGAAGCTGTTTCTGTGATACAATTACTGAGAGTAACTATTTCATCGTAATACTGATGATCCGCACAAAATACCAAAGATCTAATAAAATATTATTTCTGTGTAACAGATCCTTTGTTCCATTACAAGTGACTACCAGGAGATCCAAGGTCCATTAAACGACTACTCATAACCATGCCATGTGGGAACTTCTATATTATAATAATTAAACATGTGAATTCCAATACCTTGAGAAACATATCTAATTCGGCCACCCAGAGATCTCACAAAATTCCAAGTGAATCTAGCATTTATAATACCTGCTTCCTCTTGCTTTGTGTCTTCTCAACGTTCTCATTCATTCATCTCTTCTCTTAGTCACGAGCTAACAGTAGTTATTTTTATAATATTTTAATATCTAACATGCCTACTAATGCAATCTATTTTAGCCATCACAAGGATATTTTCCGCATACGTCACAAGCATCACATTTCAGCACACATAAAATATATAAATAAGAAAAAGAATGAGCTAAAAAAGATCCTTGGTTTGAAGAAAGAAGCTTTATCCACGAAAAAGCAACACAACAGTTGCCAAAGAGTGTGCATAGAGAAGAGCAATACAAGAACTTTCTACCTTATGAATTCAACTTGAAATGTCACAAAATCACCCCAAATTACTTCTTTTATACGCGTGGAACCAACAAGTCACAAGAAAACAATAGAATCTTGGTAAAAGAGTGATCGAACCTTTATGATGCTCTTGAGATGCTTAACAAGCTCAGGAACAGAAGAAGGCTCGTGCGAGTGCTCTTCAAATTCGGCAATTCAAGAAAGACGATGCCCAATCGTCAACCACGGGAAAAGTATAGCACAAATTAAATACAAGAAAAAGAAAAGCAAAGAATCGGGTGCAGATACCTGGAGGATTGTGCAACCCTGAGCGATCGATCGAGACTGTGGCCGCCGGGCGGGGACTCTCTCGGCTCTCCTCTTCTCGCGAAACAGAAGGGTTCAGGGTCGCAGAGGAGCGAGAGGAGGAACAAAACCGATGAGTAGAAGAACAGCAGCGCGGACCACTTCTGAGGAGGAGTCCATTGGAGAGAAGAGGTGAGATTCGCGACAGCGATCTCCGAAGCATTTGGAGAGAGAGAGAGAGAGAGAGGAACAACAGCTCCGTCTAAATCAACTCAGCAAAAGCCACGAAACCCTATCTATAGATGTGGCTCGGGCGGCGGGCTCAAAGTGCGAACCCATTCTTTCTGCTGCGCGCTCAGATGGAAACCCGAGGCAGCCGCAAAATGCGCGCACAGGCGGCAGCGAAGAAGGCAGATTAGGGTTTTGGCATAATTACGGTTTTACCCTCGAGGCTAAGGTTTTGAAGAATTACCACAATTAGATACAGAAGAGATATTAGAAGTTAAAGAAGCAGTACACAATTAGCACAGATATAAAAGAATTGGAAGGATAAAAGCGGTATTTTAAGTAAATACCGAACAACCATTCCAACCGCACCATGCGATCACCAACAAACGGCTGCTTAAATTACAAGCGTACCCACGAGATTTTAAAGATACGGCTGGTAAAATTGATATTATAATGAAGATTGTGGGTTCTTTACCATCAGGTTTTCTTGCTTGAGCCCGTCCCCGTCTCGTCTCCCCAGCATTCATTGCGACGCTCGAACGGAAGAGAAGACGAAACACTTCGAGCCGAAGCAACAAAAATTAGGGTTCCCAAGGTGCGATTCTACTTCATCTGATTGGGGTTTGTGATAGATCTCTTCGGTTCTTCCGATCCGACACGCTTTCCGGTGTTTTTTTTTTTTCTATGGATTTCGAGAATCCGTCTTCTAATTTCAAGCTCTTGTTTCCCGAAGAGTTTGGAGTTCTTGCGAGATCGTGGTTATCGCTGTGCGATTCGCTATGTTTTCTTCCAGTTTGCGGTTTTTCTATGATGGATCACGACTTTCTGTGATGGCGTCTGATATAAAATACAAATTTAGGCTGATCAATGTACTCCGAGGCAATTTTAGTTCTTGTTTGATCGGGTTGAATTCTTTTCCAGCTGATCTCTGATTCATTTGAATCTATGCGTGGAATTTCTTGATTTGCTGATTTGATCGAGCCCAAACTTGTGATTTTTACCTATCTTTATCTCCAGTTGTAAATCGCTGGTGTAGGTTATATTGGGGATTTTGCTTTGGAGCCATGAGCAAGCAGCCGCTGATTTATTGTTTTGTGGCCAAAGGCGCTGTGGTGCTTGCCGAGCACACTACATTTTCTAGGAATTTCAGTACTATTGCTGTCCAGTGCTTGCAGAAGGTGCCTCGAAATAGCATCAAAGTCATGATAAGATAGGAGAAGAAAGACATCCATTGATCATATTAAAATAAGATCAATTGATCATACTACTAAAGCATCTATCTCGCATCAAAGTCATAGATGTTCATTTCAAATTTTTTACTTTACCTTAGCTTGTAGGATTTAATAGTGGTTCCCTCTATACCTGCTACTATACCATCAAATCATTTGTAAAGTCAAATTTATTCATCATACGATCATTTTTTGTTTTCTGGATGAAAGGGCATATTGGAAAAGATAGCTTCATAAATTAACTAAACAAATCATTTTAGTTATTTTTAAGTGTTAAACATTTTGTGTTAAAAAAAACTCATTTGATACAAATGCTCAGTTGTCTATTCCGTGTTAAATGCTTTTAGTTGATTGTAAAGCTTGACATAGAAAGCCTTCACATGAAATTTATTATCTGAACTTGGGTACACATTCCAACTTGTTGTCTCGGCGTCTGTCGCAGTGCCACAATCATGAATGGCAGCGTGCGTCCACTAAGTCTGATCACAGCAAATTATCCAAATTTACAAAACTGAATTTGTTTCATCTGTAATATCAAGTTTAGGGATTTTGTAAGGAGACTGCCTATCTTTAGTATGCCAATGCCCAATGTGACTTTTGTTTCAATTGTTTCTTGGTTTATTGACAAGTCATTAAAAACATCATTGCTGCTCTAATTGTTTGAAGAATCCTCTATGAAATGTTTGTAAGTGGATGGAATATGAAAGAATACAATTACAGAATGTTAACTAACCTGCAAAGATATAAAATGAAGCTCTTTGTTCACGTAATTTAAAGGGCTTGCCTGTTCTTATCCCCTTGTTTTGTGTGTGTAGTAGGTAGCAATGTGTTGGACTCCCACTTCAGTGCTTCTTCACAGTCAATCATGTTTTCCAATCTCTTTCTATGGTTCAGAAAATCTCTAGGCTAAATGCAAATTTGACCTGAAAACAAGCTATTGCAATTCTTGCATATTTTGGCTATATCCATATAAATGATAGTGATAATAATCGATGTATCTTATAATTCTTTTATTTGTGGTGTGCACTATCCATTATTTATTTGTTTGGTGCTTTACCTACTTCATTTGCAAATATTTTCTAGATCTTTTTTGTGAAATAGTAATTTCTGTATGCATAAACCAAATTTCTGGTTTCATTTTGGTTAAATACAGAATCACTTGCCAATGCTTGATTATCACCATTTTTGAACTTGAATATGGGAAACTTTCTTTACATGCTGGTTTATTCATTTGACTGTTACATTTGGTTGTTGTCCACTACTGAATGAAAAATTTTAGTTGAAAGCCAGATGTAGCACAACCATCACTGCTGCCACCACTTCTTATAGGTCACTTCTAAAAGATAAATGTCCTTAGAGATACATATAACATTTTTTATTTCAATATTTGTCTGTCCAGTTATTTTAACTTGAGGACATTCTTCTGTTTTTGGCTTAGGAAGTGTCTTCCTGCTTCCAGTTAGGATCTGTTACAACTGGAATTATCTGCTGAGTGGAACATCTGTCAAATGGAAGAACAATTTATTCTTCGTGTTCCCCCATCTGTAGTAGAACGAATTGAACGCCTTTTGAATGAGAATGCCTCCTCTTCTTTAGATGGCTCACTGGATATATCCTTTTCAGGTAATTTTTAAGTATGATTACTTGAAAATATCCTCGTGATAAACCTGCTAGAGGCTCCATTTATCATAGATGATTTTTGGTATTCTACAACTTGGATGAATCTTCTTGTTAAATGAAGTGCACTTGTGTGATTTCAAATTGAGAGTCATGACATGTTAATAAGGTATTGTCGATTGGGATAGGGAGGTTGTTTATGCAAAAGCTGATGAACAGTAAGGTGAGGAATGTTATGATGATCACACTTAATTATCTAAAGGCTCTGTCTTGTATAACTTGCTTTGACACATTAACTTTTAGAGTTTTGCAACCAGTAAAACTTATAAGCTATCGAGGACTATAATAGCTTGAGGGGATGTAACTTATTTTCTTTCAGAAGATTTTGTATGAAAGATAATAAGGTTATGTGGAATTAACTAGACAGTGAGGCTAGAAACTGTTTCAAGGTAGAGGGGGGAAGATCGTTGCAAGTGAGAGTATGCTCAGGATCTATTTGATATTCAAATGATTCCATTTCTTTTCATATTGCTAGCCACATAATAGCCACTCAGCATTTCTTGTTGCCAGCTAGCATTTTATCATTAATGATTCAGTATTCCATTAGATTTGTAGTTTCGTGTTACATAATAAATTTAGCGTGGTTTCATTTTTGAGCTTTCAACACAGTTATGCACATGTTGTTTCTTTGGCGTACTGATTTCCTTGCACTATGTTCGAAGCTGCATGTTCTTGTATAATAGTGGTGCGTCAGTTCATCTCATCATTTGTTGTTTCTTTCAGTAGTATTAGTTTTATTTTTCTTTTATGTAGAGGATGGACGAAGTGGTACCTTTATGATAGGCGATGAGAGGTTTCCTGCCTCCCTCTTGGATCTTCCATGCATAGTGGAATCCTATAAAACCTACGATGATAATGTGTTGATCAAAACAGCTGATGTCGGCCAGGTAACTAGACCGTTTATTTCTTGACAAAGGTGAGGTATTAATACCACAACTTGAGGTTGTAAATAGATGATCATGGTAAGAGACGAAGGTGATGCTGCTGTTGAAGGGGTTGAATACAAGCATGGACTTACTCCTCCAATGAGAGATGCTCGTAGACGGCGATTCCGGAGGGAACCTGATCTAAATGTAGTTGTCTTGACTGTATACTACATTTTCCCTGTTTTCGTTTTTTCTGTTCTCTTTCTTATGTCCATTCCTACATCTTTTTGCATGAACAGCCGGAGGTTGTGCAACGGGTTGAGAAAGATCTGCTGAACATCATGTCTGGTGGGACAGTAGAAAATATCCTCGTCACACTTTTGCAAACGTACCATTGGGTTTCTTTCTATTAAAAGTAGCATCGACAAATCCATTCCCAATCATCTATAAGGATCAATTCTTACGGCTTAATGTCCTTAATCGTAGTCTTTAAATTGTAATGCCTATCCAGATGTTTCTAATTTCGTTAAAATTGTTTCTTCTTTACTGCATTCTGACCTCTGCACTAGAAGTTCTTGCGTAAGTATTATTCCTATGTTTGTTCCTTGACCGTTTGGTAGGATTACATGTCGAAACAGTCGTGCCAGAGGCAGGCAGTCAGCGCAGAAAGAATGCTCCGGTGGCTGCTCCAAAGCCAGATGAAGTGCATGTGAAGAGTGCTGGAGGTGAACCGGAAAGAAGTGATTCTGATGATTCTTTGGAACCCGAAAGCTAGTGCATTAGAAACAGACACCGTCTGAGTTTGATGGATCTTGATGTAGCTGAGAAATATGATGCATGGTTTCTGATGTTCCAAACCCCTTGTTACCCAAACAAGGTTTTGACTTGCCAGTGTCAAAATCCTTTTTACATGAGACATGTCATTTAAGCCTTGATATGTGGTGCCTCTTTGGTTATAATAATAACGCCTGTGACAAATCTGGTGGAATGAAATCTCGTTCTGATCCTTTCCCTCTGTATAGGTTTTCAGATATTTTTGTTGTTGTATAAGATGAGGATTAATAATTAGTGGTAATTACTAAATATGAATAATAATTGTCATTTCTTATTATAATTTTGTGGTGGCTTCAGATTGGATTGTTTTGAGTCAAAATTATTTGTTTTGATGTTTTTTTCCTGAATTTTAATGTTTTTAATAATATTAATAAAAGTATTATAATGTTACATAAAAAAATAGTAATCGATAAGAAAGATTTTTGTGGTCCTTTATAATTGGATAAGATATTTAAGGCAGACGCATGATTAATTTTAGATCATTATCCAACAATTAGTGCATAGCTAAATGTCCTCAAATGCAAGCTGAAAAAAGAATAAGATTTACATTTTTATACTTAGCAATGTTTGAATGTATCGATTTCATGTTCTTGTCAATACGAGATCCGATCCGAGTTCCTCTTAAAGGATTCAAACTCGAAATCGTTTGTTGTCGGATTCAATCTACTGAATCCACTCATGGTATATAATCCAACTCAAACGGACCTTTAAATCGCAACGAGCACAGCCGTCTCTCCTCTCAGTGAAATGATGAGGATTCATGATCCATCAGTTCGGAGTTGAGGAGGCGTAACACTTCATGGATGCGTTTGGCTTCGCGGTGCGATCTGTCGGCCATGACAAACCTATGAAGCTCCCCATCGACCTCCACCGAGCTGAACCCGGCCACCTTCCTCACTCCCACATCGTTCATCTCCGTCCTCACCCTCCCCACCTCCTCCCAGAGGCCGAACCTCGCGTAGAGGTTGGCCAACATGACGTAGTCCCCGGCCACCATCTGCTCCCCCGTTGCCGCCAGCCGTTCCCCCGCCAGTCTTCCCGCCTCCAGGTCCCCGTGCGTGCAAGCCGCGCCCAGGAGGCTCCTCCAGATCGCCGCCGTCGCCGGCGTGGGCATCGTGCTGATGAACTCCCGCGCTTCGTGGAACAGCCCGGCTCGGCCCAGGAGGTCCACCACGCAGCCGCAGTGCTCGACCCTCGGCTCCATCCCGTACTCTTCCTTCATCAGCTTGAACAACCTGAGGCCTTGGTCCACCAGTCCAACATGGCTGCAGGCGCTGAGCACGTTGGTCATCGTCACCGACGTGGGCCTGACGCCGGCCTCCACCATCTCGTCGAAAAGCTTGATGGCCTCCGGTGCTCGGCCGTGCATTGCGAGGCCGCCAATCATGGCGCTCCAGCTGAGCACGTTCCTCTGCGCCATCCTCTCGAAGACTTCCATTGCGGAGTCTACCTCCCCGCACTTGGCGTACAGGTCGACGAGCGCAGTGGCAAAACCAACGGACTCGAGCCCGAGGCCGTACACGGTCGCACAGGCATGAATTGCCTTCCCGAACTCCAAGCACCCGCCGTGAGTGCAGGCAGCGAGGGTGCTGACCAGAGCCGCCTCATCGGGACTTACGCCGGCCCCTGACATCCCGAGGAACGTGAACAGCGCCTCGCGGGGCTGGGCGTTGCGATCGTAGCCCGCGATCATGGCCGACCACGAAGAGACGGTTCGGCGGGGAATTCGATCGAACAGCTGCCGCGCGAGGTCGAGGTGGCCGAAGTTGGAATAGAGAGTGACGAGAGCGTTGAGGGAGTGGACGCTCGTGGCGGCGAGTCCGAGTTTGACGAGGTGGGCGTGGAGGGAGACAGCTTCAGCGAAGGCGGAGAGGAGGGAGCAGAGCTTGAAGGCGAGGGGGAAGGTGTGGGCATCTCTGAGGGGCATGTGGAGGCAGACGCCGAGGGCGAGGTGGTGGGCGGCGCCGTAGGACGCGTAGGATCGAGCCAACGCGTTCCAGAAGGAAGGCTGGTGGACGTGGGTGCGGATGGCGCGGGCGTGGCGCATGCGGAGGTGGGCGAAGGTGGGGAAGGAGCCGGAGGGGTCGAGGTGCTTGCGGTGGGCCGGAGGCCCGGGGAGCGGGGTGGGCGACCACGCCTCCGCCGTTTGCATTAGGTTTGATTACGGCGCTGACGAGGAGGAGGAGGATCGACCGGGGAGGTGTTTGGCTGCTGGTTTCCGGATGTATATATATGATAAGCTCTTCTTCTTCTGTGTACGCCATCCTCCACATAACGCAAGTAACGCCAAACGAACATTTGTATTGACATCATCCTCCTCCTAATCGACGATTTTGATTCCTAAAATTTGAATACCAATTTGAAAACCTGTGCGGGTTACAATTCTGATTTTGATGGTCTCGAATAATCATTTTTTTATTTTTAATTAAAAATAATTTAAATATATAATAATAAAAAAAATAAAAATAAAAATAAAATATATAATAAATCTGATAATATTAAAAAAAAATTAAAAAGAAGTCGTGATGAGGGTAATAATGGCGATAAGACTCAGGTGACGTCAACTGCCCCAGATGACGCCTCATGCCCCTGTTTGACCTGACAACTCCTGGTCAACGCGGATCGGAACGTCGACCAAGGCACATTAAACACCCTGCTCAGGCTCGATCCCTCACGCCACGCCAACATCAATGTCAGACGCTACCAGAAGTACGATCCTGCTCCCTGCGGGCAAGCACATCAGGCAACGGTAATCCTCACTATAAAAACCCTCGTGCTCCGAGGAAAAGAGAGAGGAAAGGAGAGGACAACAGAAAAAAACCCCCTACGACGGTTCGCTAACTTGATCGTCGTAGGGGTCGGGCCGAGCTCTCCCGACCTGACCTTTGTGTAGGTGCGAAGGCGAAGGTCTCCCACTAAACACCCAGGCGAGGAGTTCCTTCCCGGAGGAAACAGCGACCCCGTCCTGATCGGACCACCACAATCGGCCACCTCAACAGTCTCAAGGAATGTCCCAAGGAGATCTCCCATCATCCGAACCCGAACCAAGCCGCGATGGCCCTGAGGTCACGGCTTAAAGTTGTTTACACCAACAAATATAAAAGACCTTTTCTAATCCTAAGATCGTGGATGGATAATTCAGATTCGATTTCGATTTCTAAAAACCAAGAATTATAACCACATCGTCTAAGACGATTGGATTTGGTTTGAAACAAATGGATTGGATTCTGATTTAATTTGAGCCAAACCATAATTAAGTCTAGACATCATATCTGGTTGATTTAAGAAAAAACCTGCAGCCGATGAAAATGCTAAAACAAGGTTACGTGATAAATTGCTTGGCTTTCTTTCACGAGCAAATCATATGCTTCCCGAACAAAATGACACAAAATAGGGAACTGTGTTCTGAAATAAAATAAAAGGATATATGAATAGGCACATATACAACACACAACATGAGGTTCTGGTTTTAGTTTTACATGTGATCGAGACTGGTTTCTGATACATATAAGGGTAATGAATAGGCACAAGAATGCGTTGCACAAGTGCAATCTGTGCTCTAAAGGGATACTTGATGAAATTAATTGGTAATAAGCACCTATGCCTGGGGCTCCAAATGTTGGGGCCCCGTCTCATATAATTGTAACAATCCTCCCTCCGTATTATTATTATTCTACGAGGTCTGATAGCTGAAACCTCGGAGCATCGGCTTAAAGATCCCAACTAAATAATAAGGGGTTAGAGATGATGATATGCCTGGTGTTCATGATGTTTCCCACACTTTATAATCTCTTCCTTCAGCTGCTACAACCCATTTTGTAGGACCATCTGGTGGCTCATAATGTCCTGGCCCAATTTTGACTGCTAACTTTCCATCGATCTCAGCCGCATAGACGTCCCTCTCTGCCTTGACGATCTTCACCTGGACCACATCATACAACCAATCATGTTAGGATTAGCCAGCTTATCAAATGAATTACTGAAAAAAAATCATTTTATTATGTTTCTGTTTTCTTTTTTTCATTTTCTTTCCTTCTCAGATATTCATCGATATTTAATCGATTTATATCAGAATGGGGAAACAACGTTGTAGTTGTAGGTGCTTCGATGCACCAACAAATGCCCATGAAGAAACCTTTATATGGGATGCGACCAACAATTATCCTACCACATCCGTGTGACTTATCAGACATCCGAAACATGAGACTCGGCCAAAGAAATATGCAACAAAATGTCATCTGAATGCAGAAAACTCATACCGTGCTCCTGCAGTGAATCTTGTTTTCATTTCTGACCGAGATCAATCTAGATATCTCTTGCTGGTAGTGAGAGAAAATGTGGTCATAGAAGACTGCTGGTGTGCCAGGATGCGTTAAGATATATGCATATCCTTGCATCTCCTTTCCAGATGGGAATCGCCAATGACCCTGTGGAAGAAACACACTAAACCGTCAGCAAATTTTCCATGACAAGAAGAGACTGATAATGCTCTGGTAGATATTTGAAGGACTGCCTGTGGAAGAAACACACTGAACCGTCAGCAAATTTTCCATGACAAGAAGAGACTGATAATGCTCTGGTAGATATTTGAAGGACTGCAGCCATGAGGCTGCAAATTGAGGTTCAACAAGCTGTGGATGTCAATCATAACTGGAATTTTTCCTTATCAAGTAGTTAGTCAATGATTGCAGATGCAAAACTAGCTGGTAGTATAGAAAACAGCAATGTTCAAGCTCAATTAACAAGCAATTGGAGAACACGCTGAATCTTGAGCGCTTAAACTCAATTTTTCACTACAGTTTTCAGTCAACTAACAGGTTTCTTTCTATGCATCTCAGATTCTCCCCCAAGGCTTCCTAATGAACAATAAGGCCAAAGGAAACAGGGAAAGGCAAATTACCACTTCAAATGACACTGATACCATGCTTAGTGTATAGCTTACGTTTACCAACATGTTGGCATATTACAATCTAATGGTTGATAGGTTGGAAGTGGCAAGTCAGTAGTTTAACAAAAAGGAAGGAAACATATAAGATATATAACTTACGGATTAACATTTGAAACTATGAACACACCCAACAATGAAATCTATAACTTCCCATAACTTACCTGGAATTTACATAATGAGTTAAAAAGTTAAGAATGTTGATCTTGTCTAAACCTGTTAGTGACGTGTAGCTAACATTCCTTTTCCTTTAAGGAAACAGTAGTGTACAGTGATTTATGACACATAACACAAGAAAATAAATAGATTATGAACTGAAAGGCAAAGTCAATGTGCCAGCTATGCTTCATAAGAAGTTTGATAATGGACAAAATCATGAATGAGCATTTATCTGTCGGGATTCAGACAAAGAGAATACGATTAATTTATCCATTTACGCTTGCAAGTTTCATTGCATATGTTTATGGTACTGATTCATTAGTAAATAAATCAATTATTACATGCATATTAACCCATAAACCCTAGTCTTTCCAGTGAATGAAAGATCATAGTAAGGATTAACTATCTTCAAGTCACAATATAGAATTAAGATCATTCCGTACCTGAGTGGAGCCAGTGTCATGATTCTCTATAAAAGTAACGGCACGAGATGCCCACCAGCCTACTACTCCAGGAGGTTTCCCATTTTGATCAGACAATCGCCAATACTCACATTTTTCCAGAGCCTGTAAGAAGAAAAAAAATTAGGTTGTCCACAGTACTTATACTATGATAATATAAAGCAACTTATAAAAAATTATAGTATAAATTAACACAGTTTTGAACAAAGTTGTCACCTTATAAAGAATGCTGTTGATGTCATGTAGAATATGAGTGAAGATGAAAAATCAAAACTAATCAATAATGACACTCATTGTTTAAAATATATATTTTCTAGGCACATGTTCTCAGTTTTTGGACATGTGATAGGCCTTTCCCCCTAGTTATAAAATCACTTGTCCCCTGAATATGTTAAAAAGTCTAACTTATTTTCTAGAAATTATGGCTTGTGTGCATGACCATAGCCTAGTAAATTCAAGGATTCTGTGTGATGATGACAGGTACATACTTTTTAATTTAAAATATTTTGAACAGAGAAGCTACTTTCAGAGGTTGTATATGGGCATACCAATTAAGCATAAAGAGGGTACGCACAAAGCCTGGTTAAAGTTTACAAATCAACTACTGATTTGGAAAACACAAGCCACAAGGTCCCTATTTTAGTTTCATAAATCTTTTCCAACCATCGAGCCCAATCGAGGGCAATATCATTAATCAAATTAAGAGTCATCAAATCTCCTCTTACCAGTTCTAAGAAAGTTTTCCCAAGTCTTCCTCACTACAATATCTCCCATGACCGAAAGTTTTATCAATGCATATGCAGATCTCCTTTAAAAATCTTCATACCACACCTTAAATGGTTTTCCCTCATTTATCTTCAATAGGAATAACCCTAATTTTTCTCTGGAAGCTGGCAGTTATTGTTCTTTTCTCTAGTAATAATCTCTCTATCAAACTATATATGTTATTTCCTAATTGTCGAATGTTTTGACCCTAAAAGTATAAACCTTATAGATATTTTACTAATTCTTTTTCTTTTAATTTGAAGAGGACATGATGACCACACAACACTACTGATTTCAATTTGCTCTTAGATCAAGCCTATTAGTGATTGGAAATAGCCACCAAATATTTGAGGTCCAATTAGAACAATATATTATTTTTAGGATGCCCAATGAATAACTGAAGGATCACCTAGACATTGTGTTGAAAAGGGGCAGCATTGAAACCTATGCACAGGAAAGACCTCATTCCCTAAAATTTCCTTCCATGTGTAATGATGCTTGGATGACCCAGCCAAGCATCGTTAAACTCTGCATGTATATCAAGCCATAGTAGGTTGAAAAAATTGGCATGTACCATCAAAGAAAGACACCTCCAGAAGGATATGTAACTATCAAGCTAGATGCTACTTCATTATGTTTCTTTCCTAGGCGAACAGGGATGTCCATTTTTATTGTAGGTTATTTCAGTCACCATGTTTTTGGTATTACCTATCAGTATCTTCAATGCAGAGAATAGATCTGTCAAAATCAACCTTGATCTCCATGGTTAGTTTTAGTTGTGTGTTTGTCTTGCAATTAGCAAAGATAGTCTTTGCATTACAGCCTAAGAACTAATCTTTAAATTTTCAGATAAATAAGCAAAAATGTATGGTACTGCAGCACAGGAAACATGACTTCACTTTCTAAAGCCTCAAGTTCTGAGTATTCCTTTGTACAAAATCATTAAATCCATCTAAATGGATGTGTAGTTCACATTTTCAGAACCCTCGAAGGAGAGAAAAATATATTGACAAGCAGATATCCATCTCATCTAACATGTAGTTCTATGGTAAATTCCATGAAAAGCAGCATAATTTATGAACAGTGGCAAAGAATAAGATATGAACAAATAAAAGGTAAAAAGGGTCATAAGCTGTAATCTTACACTGTGGAGGATTCCTTTTGTGGTGACATCGAAGGCACCCGCAGTTCCATTTGTAGCATTTATCCAATCAACAATCCTTTGTCTATGAGCATCTTGATTATGGTCCATGTCACCATATGTATAACTTAATGAGTCCCAATACTCGCCCACAGCAAAATATGGTTCAGTTGCTTCCATGTAGTCTTTTACATAACCACCCCAAAACCCACGGACAAAATCTAATCTCCATCCATCATATCCAACTTCTTTTCTGTAATCATAGCAAGCACAGAATGAGCATGAATGATATAGCTGTGATGCAAAAAATGTCAAATATTTCATTGTGGCATAGAAACCATCAACTAACATCCAAACATGTTATTCACTTCCAGAACACACATCATTCTTCTCACTAGCTAAAGCATTGATGCTAATGATTTTGAAAATTGATAAAAGTAGCCTATTCTGACAAGAATTTAAAATCCAACACTTGTAATAAGGGACATAAGTATGCACTCTGACATTCACAAATCATCACTTTGAAACCCAACCAGGACTAGAACACCATACTTTCCAAGGGACCATAATGAAACAGAAGGTACCAAGCCTTCTCTCAAGTGAAATTGGCCCTTCTTCTGAGTTGTGCATTATCTCAACAACATGGGAAAGGCAAATATATATTTACCAGTTTCAAGAAATTATCTTCAGTGCTAATTCAAGACAGGCTCAAGCAGCCAGACTCACCTTTAGTGAAGTACGACCTCAGGGTTGATAGTGCCTAGGGCATGCTTCACCATGCAAAGGTTTCCTCGAAGAGTTTACAGCATTTTCAGACTAGTATCAACAAAAAATTCAACAAATCCTTCTACTTGTATGAGAAATTTTGACATTTTCAGTAAAGATTGAAATGCCTACTCGTATATTTAGTCACTCCTGCCTGTCCTTTTCCCTTTTTCTTACCTGATCTACTACTGGTAACCATATTTAGTCACAATAATCATGCAGGAACACCAAAAGATACAAGTCATACAACAAATTCCATGATCAGCAGTCTATATAAGCCCCCTGGTGATTTTAGTAAAGAATGATAACTTCCATCATACTCCATTAGACGCAGGTTATATCACGCCATAATACATGTAGCCGTAGGTATCAAATTATCAGGGCACATTAGGCATCTTTCACAACTGTCTGTCAAGTGGGACCAAACATGCCAAGTATGATTAAGTTTCTAAAGGATCTGTAAAAACTTACAAACGTTGGTTGCAATATTCACACCCTTGTGCCATCACTGGCCTAGATATTAATTTCACGAATTATTGTAGAGACCAAGAATGCTGACAAATATTTAGCTTCAAGTTAACACAAATTAACTGATACTGGATATGAAATAATATTATGTACCCTCAAGCCATGCTAAACGATGTATGTATGTCAAGGATCAAAATAATCTAGTGAGTCAGCCTATAGAATTTCTGCCGAGTCTTGTGTAGTTTATTTGTGCTTCAGCAGCTCAATATACTTCTTGACATCAAATTTCGGAAACAGGATAATCATGCAAACATAAAAGTCTTATAAACAGAAATAGATTAGTATGACAGAACAAAATAGCAGAATGTTAATTTGCCAACATTATCAGAAGACAGTTTCTGAATAATATTAAATAAAAAAAGGACATCAACAGACCTCAACCAGCAGAGCCACTCTTTCAGGTCCCTCCTGACAAAATCTTGAGAGTGGTCAATATTCGGGGCAGCATGAAAATTATCTCCACTGCTTTTGTTACCCCTTCCCTAGGAAGAAGGGAAAAAAAAAAGGAAACAGTAAGTTGTGTCCAGAAGATGGAACCCTCGATCATATGCATGAAGTTACAAATACCTTCCAATTCTACCATGGGTTCCCCTAATGAATGTGTATTAAAACTTTAGCCCAATCATAGGGGTACTTTCGTAATTTGAGCCAATGACACTGAGGTTAAATTTAGTCTAAACACCTAACCTGAAGCCTTTAGCTATATCTTTTCTTGTAAATCTATTACAGTCTAGCATTACATCATAAGTTGCTTGCCATGATATATGACATGAACTTTCTCCCATACCATAACCTTTCTTCTGTATGCTACAATATTGGCCATGTCATCCAAATCTCTGTACACGTGAAGGAGAAAAGCTACCAGAATTGTTATAAAACTACAATTTGAATAATTTTTAAAAATGGTTCAAATTATAACTCGAATTTATGTAAATAATAAATCAGAAAAAAAGACTTTAAGCTTACCAAACAAGAGAACTACGTCTGTTTGTACAGTAAACAAAAGCATTTCAAGTATACCAAATCTAGCAAAATATTATATGTTGGAATAGTGTAAGTTATTATTGTGACAAAACTAAGTTCTCCAACTAATCCATCCAAGAACTCAACAAATATAGCACTCATAATAAACCAATATAGATAGGAGTCATGTTAACTCATCTTTAATGTAATTTAGAAATTTTTGAAAGAAAATGCAAATAAACTGTTTTACCCATATTCTGTTAAACATTACCTGGAAGTGAGGATCATCAGCAACAATAGCACGATCATCCCAATTCAATCGGCCTCCGAAAACGTTCCAAATTCCATTCTTATTCTGGAAATGTGCACATCGATGGTTTAAGACAGCATCACCAAGAACCTTAATGCCCACTTCATGGAAACTATTTACAAGATCCTTCAGCTCTTCCAAGCTTCCATATCTGAATGTTTCCACAATATACACCATTAGTCCTACTTGCTGCATTTGATTTGTCAATCAGGTCTTTATAATCCTAATGTACAAAGCTGAATGAACAGAAATGAGAAAAGTATACCTCAATTCAGCTTCAGCACAATTGATAAGGCAAACATATGTTTCAAAGAAATAAGAACCCGAAAGGTCATCAATCATGATAATACATCCATGCTTGGCATTAGAAGGGTTACACAGTTGGACTGTCATCTTTTTCTAACTGGCAATATATATTAAAAAAGCCCTGAGAGCAACTACATCAATGATGCATGATGAGATCATGAGGAAGGATACAAATCCTACATAAAGGAAGACAATTATGAAACTTGAGTATTTAATAGACCACATATTATCAGTTCTTCAAAGTTATATCACTATTGATAACTTCTTATCAGAAGACTATTGGTCTTTATAACCTATAAAGTTGAATAATTTTGTAAATCGTCTAAAGTCACTATAGGGATACTGCACAACATTCCAATCAGTTATCTCATGTTTGAAAAAGAACCTCATTTAAAAGGGAATACTTGTTCTTGATGACATAACACTTCACCGTAAGGAAAGGAGTAGTCATGCAAAGGCTCGTCGGTTATGCAAAGGCTATGCAAAGGGAAGGGAACTTCACATTACAAGCTCGTCGGTTATGCAAAGGCTAGAAGAAGACTGCAGAAAAAATTGTCCGTATCATTTACCTTTCTTTCTTGCTTCTACGAATTTTTCTTTGGTAATGGGAGTGAATTCTAAGGTGGAAGCATTCATGGGCCTCATATATAATTCAGTTGTTCTATTTGACATATTTGGGACAGTATATTCTTCAAGCAATCCTCATATGGAAAAGCTTGAATTTCACTGAAAATCATTCACGATAGTTCAATAATATTTAGCAAGTGACACAGACCAGTTAATGTAAGAGTAACGGTAAGATGGTAAGTTCTATTTTCTTGTAAGTGGAAATCCACACATCAAAAACTGTACTTTCAGCTTAAATTGTTCGTAGTAGTTAATAGAATAACTCCTATCTTAAACTAATTTCCACACCCAAATGAGTTAAATAGATTGTTCTACCTTTACTATGAAATAAACATCAAAAGCTTTCCTGCAATGTATCTGTACCTGGAATTTAAATTGTATAAATCCTTTGGCATGTACCCTTCAGGAGATACAGACTCAGTGGGTGGTGGTAGCCAGATGACTGTAAAACCTAATGAAGACAATTCCTTGGCCTTGTCACTAAGCTCGGAATACCATCTTCCCGATTTGTGAGATTCCCAGTTAAATCCTTGACACAGAATTTCATACCCAGAGCCTGTTCCTGAAGACAATTTTACAGCAGGCTTCAGCAGCTCAGTGTCAGAAGCCAACTCCACAAAACCTGGAATGGAGATCCTGAAGATACTATAAGCTTCTGCAGCCAATTTCTCAATTTCTTGTAGAATGTTTTCCTGTGCTTCCTTGCTTTTAGCTCGTTTACCTTTTTCTGATGATATATCAGTTACTAAATGTCTTATCTCCTTGATAATTTCATCAGTATATGCAACAGCTTCTATGAGCTCCTCAGGACCTTGGGGCTTCATGGGTAAACTATTGATGTTTTTGGGATCACTTGCTTCCAGTGATTTATTCTGCAGTGGGTATGAATTATTTGGTGATAGACTGTTTCTCACATCATGAATCTCTGTTCCTGCCTGCTGTTCATGTACAATATCATCACTACCAATTTCAGCAGTTGTGCTACTCACACTTCCAATTGGGATGAAAAAATCAGTTCCATTGTTATTCAACCATGTGTATTCATTAAGTTTGAGCACAAAAACCACACCTGAAGTTCCTTGATCCACCAAAAATAATCCCCAGCTACCAAGGCCATCTGGTTTTGGCTGCAAGATAAATGTGATATAACAAGTGGTTAGCACAAGGAGAAAGAAAAGAGTCTTCCATTACTACATTTCAAGCAAAATATTCACATGAAATGAAATTGAATCATGTAGATTAGCCACTTGGTCCAGGTCTGAATCAGAGTCCATTAGCAGTTGCAACATGCAAACATAATAGGAAATTTATATTACTAATGTAGATTCAGCTAGTTGATCCCAGCATGCCCAACTCTAGCAATTTTTATCATATATGCAAGATTTGCTAACAAGGAGGCACCATGTACCAAAGTCCATTAGCAGTTGCAACATGCAAACGAAACTGAGATGATTATAGGACAAATACTGATTCAAGTAATGAATCACAGCATGCCCAACTGTAGCAATTCTTAATCATATATGCAAGATTTGCAAAGAAAACTGCACTATATGTCATTCTGTCTCATTATCTGCCATTTTAAGACATCCAAATTGGGAAACACCTTTATATAATGGAGCAAATGGTAAGCTAGATAGGATTTTACATGCAACCTAAAACATCTGTTATGAGGGCAAACACTAGGAGTATAAGCAAGATATACAAAGCCTTACAATTAATCATGTCACTAGTGAATTCTTCTAATTCATATCTTCATTTGTGAAATTGCACCATGAAAGAACTCCTAAATATACATTTATCATCAAGAAAATTAGAAATAAACCTCAAAAGAAAGTTAGTTACAAGATATAACTATTAATATTTCTATTCATCCCAGTTGCATCACTTTTCAACTCTGTGCTCTAAAAGATATTGTATATTGCATTTAGAAGTCTCTAGGACAAACCTATTTATTAAATGAATATGTGAGCACAGATTTCAAGTAGACATTTTAATCATTTTACTTCACTTTACCTGTAGTAAAGTTTGAAGAGCCTTATGCCGAAAGATTTTGGTTGCTGGTGGATGTGGGGTAGATGGGATTACCCATTTTCTCCCATCGTCCTTACAGACACCCCAATGAATTACGACATCACCAGGCAGATCTGTGTCAAATTGCACAATGTTCTTATCTGTCTTATCACTACTCCTCACAGAGACTGTCATATGGTTGGGAACAAACTCTTCTTTTAAGATAGGAAATTCTTTGTAAATTGGAGCAATGCATCTATTCTGCTTCACAACATTTCCATCTTCATCATCAGGGTCTTCTTTTTTGGAAGTAGACTCTTCAGCTTTCAGCAGCAGGCTAGATATCTGGTCAAAACCCCCTGAAGATACAGAGAAATTAAGTCATCGCTGTTGTCAGCTAGACCAGATACCTTCACCATTATCTTAAGTAGAGGAGAATTCCTCAGACATTGAATACAAAACTTGCAAAGAACAAACGAGCATCGATATTTAGTGACACTGGTAAATAATGTTAGGTAACCAAGACAATGTTACTTATCCCATACTGATAAAGAACAAAGAGTAGCCAACACAGTTCTAGCTGTATATTTGAAGGCATTACAGATAAAATAAAAAGGTACCTCATATGAATCTCTTCTAAGAAATCATATTTTACAGCTGAAACGTCTAGCAGAGAAGTTGCACACTGACTAACAAGTGGTTTTTATACTAACACTATTAATTTTGTCGTCAATAAGGGCACCATTTATTTGTCTTGGTACTTAGAAGTTAGAATCAAGGTTGTTACTTGGTGGCAAGCAAAACACAGCTGGGCAGCCTAACCCACTGGTGGTCAAACAGGATAAAGAATAAAGAAAAACCCAAGAAGAAAATGTTGGAGACTTCCTCCCTTTTCGGCCAAGCTTCATCAGAACTAAAGCCCACCATTCTTAAATCTGCCCAAGAGATGATCTGATATCAACTGTCTTTCAATAATTTTACCTCATACAAATTCCAGTATATCCCCAAGAAGATAACCCCTTGCTTACTCGCCTTTTGTGTTCTCTCATATATCCTTTCACGTTGCACTTACAAGTTACAACTATGAGAGGAAAAAAAATTGCGATCAAATTTTGAGAACATGGCATAAGACATGATACATTCCAATGTAACATGCTCCAGCAACTAAGACATACCTTTTCCTTACTTGATAATTTCTGCGACTATGCATAACTTTTAGCCATTACACGGTAGTCATCATCATCATCTTTTTTAAGCAACAACTAGAGAGGGTAGGTATTTTGACTTAGAACAATTTAATACACATAAATTTGATTTAGAAGAAGCTCAACATTGTTATTTTCCAGAGCCTAATTGGTTGGCAAGCCATATACACTTTAAGTATAACATAGCAGGTGATTCTCTAACCACTAGAGAAAAGCTATGGTTACTCTGGCAGTTTGATTAAGTGGGAGATAATCATCCCTTTGGAGTTTCCACATAGAGTGACCTAGGAGATAATCATCCTTTTGGAGTTTCCACATATACTGGCTTAGGAGATGTTTATATGACAATGTGTAACTGTTTTCTATCTGTAGGCTAACTCATCAAGGAAATTTACCAATTAGTACGATTACAAATATGATTAATATTACAATATCTAGATTTGACAAAACTACATTATGTGACAACAAAACCTTTGCTTGCAGAAAAAAGGATAAGTGTTCTAGACTTATACTTTATCTATTGTTCTTTTCCCTACATCCATGATTGTCTAAGACTCTAAAACAGATTTATTCTAGAAATCAGTTTAGTTGCAACTGTGCCTAAAATTCATGATGAGGTAGAGATTATAACCTGGCCATATGCTCAAGCCTTGATTCCCACCTACACTGTTGGCCACTTCAAAATAGTCTGTAAAGGATATTCTGAAATCCCTTCCCTTGTGCTGAAACCATGCTCCTGTTTCTTCTTCCTATCAGTGCACATTAAACATTGAAAAAAAAAGTTACTTGAGTCAATTATCTGACAGCATGGCTACTGAATAAGTGATTCACAGAACTTCAGGTTTCAATTGACCATCACTTACATATCCTAACGACCAAGCAACTCATGTATATCTGACTAAGATGAAAGTATATGTATGTCGTACCTTTAAAACAAAATGAATTGCTGCAATTGGGGTGTTGCTGTCAAATTCGATCTGCAGTTCGTGAAGTGCCTGCCTTTCGGATTGGGATGATAATCTCTTCAAAGGTGTTTCTATTGCATAGTCCTAGGAGTAAACACCAATGTTGCCACCATATAAGTTGATCAAAGAAAAAAAAAAAAAAACTCCAGCACATGATGTAAATAACAAAATCACAGGCCCAAAAAGGAGGGAAGTGATAGTTAAAATGAGAAAATATTACCTTAATAAGGACAGACTCGGGTGGTCTCATTTCAGGAGGAGGTTGATCCCATTCGCTGCAAATTTATGCATGTAAAATCACAAAGGATAAGTATGTGCATCACACGTTAGAGTTACAAATTTACACAGCACAAAAAACATTAAGTCGTATAATTATGGTCACAGGACTACTTTTGATCCACCTACCAGTCCAAAGTCATTATTTACAAAGAAACAATTTTCAATATGCGCACTATACTCAGCGAATAACAGCAAATATAAGTATCTTGACGTTTTTCTTTTACAGAAAGAATATGTCAGCAATTTATATATGTCGTGCGGCAAATTTTAAGCTGGAAAAAAGTTGTGCACACTTGATTTTGAGTTCAATTATGGTATGTTAATGCCCCAGTAGGATTTAAAGAAATTGTAAACGGTAACAGTTGTAATCATAAGTTAAACAGATCCATGGGTAAAGTTACTTTTGTTTGTTTTTTTGGCTTTTTGACTTCAAACAAGGGACAAAAGGTACAAAAAGGAACCCTTTATGTTCTTTACGATAAAATAAAAGATCAGCACGCCAAAAAGAAAGAACTAAAGAACAGATTGGTGCTACTGAAAAGAAACACAAAGCTTGCCTTCCAAGATCATCGCAGTAGCTAACTCCCCAGTGCAGAGTCCACTTCCCTTCCAAATTACAACCGATGGTCAACCGCCATTTGGACACTTCCTCCTCGGCGACTGCTGGATCCAATCTCACCGTTATCTTCCCCTCCACCTGCCATCGATCCCCAATCAACCAATTAAAACACAAGGATGGAACCAAACACGGAAGATCTACAAACTTAGCAACCCAGATTAGATCTCAAGGTCAATGACGCGAGCCGTACAACTTAAGATTCGATCGGAAACCAAATAGCCACTGAATGGATCATCTTCGCAAAAAAAATCCTCCGACAGCAACGAAATCAATCGACCGCCAACAAAGAAGGGGGAAAAGAGAAAGAGAAAGAAAAAGAAAACACTGACCGTCTGAGACCGCTTCAAGGAGAGGGTCTCCGAGAACAGGATCTCGGTGTTCTCGACGTCGGCGAGGGACGGGGTCTGGGCCAAACCAGCCCGAACGACGGGGCGGACGCGCGCCCGACCCGCCTGAGAGAATTTAGAGCTGGAGATGGATAGGAAGGCAGGCGCCGCGGAGCGAATCGGGCGCCGGAGGAGCAGTGATCGCCGCGGACCTCGAGGCCATGCGAATCCGCGGCGACGGTGCCCCTGGGGAGGGCAGTGGAGGACCGGCTTCCAGCGAACGAGCAACATCGGCGAACGGTGGGGGAGAATCGAGAGACGGAGGAGAAGGAAGCGAAGAGATTTTTCAGGAGAAGAAGCGCAACACCGACCAGGAAAAGATGCCTCTATGAAAGCAGCGTTGGGGATATCCTCCACTCCTCATTCAATTACGTGGAGAAGATACGGAGCCATGGCTCCTTTAATAGCCAACCTGAAGCGGGATCTGCTACATCAGCTGGTTCGATGGAGGTTTCAAAAACGACCCACGTGGCGGATCGGAGGCTATTCATTGGAGGATCGAAGCACTGGCTACACGCGTTCTCGAACGGGATCCGACAGTCCCTCGGCGCTCGCGGGGGTATGATCTTGCGACGTACCGCCAAAAGCGGCGGTTACGTGGAAGAGTTCGACGCTAATTGCGTCAGGGGCGGCTGTGGTGTGGCGTGAGTCCGCAAGCGAAGAAATCGTTCGACATGACTCGGGCGACCGACGACACATTTCACGTGGATAAGGAAAAGTTTGATCCGCTTCTAACTGGAGCACAGTGGCGAAACCAACGGGGACACCGTGATTCCACCGCGGGAGTTTCTCTATCTCCCATAAAATAGATGGTTTCTATTGATGATTCAGACAATGATTCATTCGTCTACGGGGGATAGGGATGCAAGACACATGCTTCCAATAATGATAAGAACTAAGATAAATGTAGCAGCATTTCCCAGTGTGACCATTGGAAAAGGATAGGGACGCCCGGATCGGCAATGAAGAGAAGAAACAGAGGTCAAAAAGGCGAAGACGAATTCATTCTTATCTTTTTGGATATTAATGCCGATCCTTTCATGTGGAAAGAGATCTACAAAAATGGAGGAGTGGATTTGGATAGGACCTGTCATGTGTAATTGGGACCCCCTCACATGTCTAATCCAGTTGGCAACGTATAGGCTCAAAGCCTCTGTCCTCTCTACTGGCCCACCTGATCCACTTGCTTGTTCCGTGAAAAGGTGGGCGAGGAAAAGGATGAAGGGAGAGCGATAGGCTGATGTCATGTAGTGAGTGACTTGTGTTGAGGATGGCCCGATGTTGCTCGACGATTGGGCTGTGCGATGGATCTAATTGTTGGCAACCAATCTGAGCTTGGCCCAAAAATGTTGGTCGACTTATCGATGGGCTGAGATCCAAAAGGCGTGAAGCAAATGACCACCGTTTGAAGCACAAGAAGCTGCTGCGGCAAATCATCCATCGTGGCCTTTATTCCTTTGTTCCTCTCAGCTTGAGGAACACAAGTGGCTGGAAACATGATCATAAAAGTGCGGGAGAACAGATTCCGTCTTCCACCGCCACCACACCACCAGCGACAGTTTTCATCGAGATTACCTACCGCCAATGTATAGAGCTCATGAGAAGTCGATGAACGCTGCGTCGACATGGTCAGCTGCCTGCCTTACTGGTTGAGGATTAGATTGACTTCTCTATGTCCCGAATCCACTTTGGAAAAGGGCGGGAAGCAACCCAACGGCTAACGCAGAAGGAGAACGACAAGCAAGAAAGGAATCAAGAGCAGGATGGAGAGGAGCGTCGATGTCAAGCAACCCAACCATCCATGGTAGAAGAATCCAGCAGCAAAAGCAAAAGGAGAGAGCATCCTCGCCTCTCCTTTCGCCTTTGCTCCTCCCTCATCAGAGAACAAGAAGCAAGAGATCCTCTGCCTCACATGAGAACATGACGAGCCTACCGCTTCCGGTCATCCGCAAGCTCGCCGTCGAGGTCATCGACGCCCGTGACCTCCTCCCCAAGGACGGCCACGGCACCTCCAGCCCCTACGTCGTCGTAGAATTCGACGGCCAGCGGAAGCAAACCCACACCGTGCCGCGCGACCTCAACCCGCAGTGGAATGAGCGCCTGGAGTTCGTCGTCGCCGACGACGTTTCCTTGGAGGACGAGGAGCTCAACGTGGAGGTCTACAACGACAAGCGGATGGGAAGCCCGAGTGGCGCCCGCAAGAACCACTTCCTCGGCCGCGTCCGGATCTACGGCTCCCAGTTTGCCCGCCGCGGGGAGGAGGGGTTGATCTACTTCCCGCTGGAGAAGCGGAACCTCCTCAGCTGGATCCGGGGCGAGATCGGCCTAAAGATGTATTATTACGATGAGCCGATCTCTGAGGAAGGGAAGCCCGAAGGAACTGATCCCGACCAGCTCCCCGCCCAGCAGCACAAACCGGAGGAGCCCAAGGATCCCCCGCCCGATCTCCCTGAGCCCACGGAGACCGCCGCGGAGACGCAGTCCCCGCCGCTGGTCTCCGTGGTGGTGGTGGCGGAATCGCCGCCCCCGACGGCGCACGGTCAGGACGACATGGCGGTGCCTCCGTCGCCGGAGACCACACCGGTGGAGGCTTATCCGCCGGAGATGCGCAAGTCGCAGACGTCGGCGTTCACGGAGAGGGTCCGGGCGTCCAGCAGGAGACCCATGGGCGGGGACTATCGACCGAGGGTCGTGTCAGGGCGGTTCGTCTCCCACAGCGAGGCCGGCGGCGGGAACCACGACCGGTTTCCGCCACCGGTCTACGACCTGGTGGAGCCGATGCAGTACCTTTTCGTGCGCATCGTGAAGGCCCGGGGCCTCCGCCCATGCCACAGCCCGCACGTGAAGATCCGGACGGGGCCGATCGCTGGCCAGTCCTTGCCAGCGCGGGACAGCGGTGCCGGCTGCCCGGAGTGGAACCAGGTGTTCGCGCTGAGCCAGTGCAAGCCGGAGTCAACGCTGGAGATTTCGGTGTGGGAGGATGGGCCCAACGAGGCGTTCCTGGGCGGCGTGTGCTTCAACCTGACGGACGTGCCGGTCAGAGACCAGCCGGACGGCCCGCTCGCCCCGCAGTGGTACAAGCTCGAGGGCGCTAGCGATGACGCGCCGGTCACGGGCGACATCATGGTGGCGGTTTGGATCGGGACCCAAGCGGACGAGTCGTTCGCCGAGTCATGGAACTCGGACGCGCCGTACGTGAGCTACGCCTACACCCGGTCCAAGGTCTACCAGTCGCCCAAGATGTGGTACCTCCGGGCCTACGTCATCGAGGCGCAGGACCTGCGTCTTGCGTCCGCCGCGCCGCTGCCGCCCGGCGTGCCGCACAACGTGCGCGTCAAGATCCATCTGGGTTTCCAGTCCGCGATGACTCGGCGGCCTATCGCCGTGAGCAGCAGCTCGTCGTCCTTATCGTGGATGGAGGACCTCATGTTCGTGGCGTCCGAGCCCCTCAGTAACCACGAGATGATCGTGGAGGTCGAGGACCGGTCGACCAAGGAGCCGGAGCCGCTGGGGTACGCGGTGGTGCCGGTGGTCTCGGTGGAGCAGCGACTGGACGAACGGCAGGCGGTGGCGTCACGGTGGTTCAACCTGGAGTCGACGGCCACGAGGGAGTGCGGAGCGGCGCCCGGCGGCGGCTACCGCGGCCGGATCCACCTCCGACTTTGCTTGGAGGGTGGCTACCACGTGCTGGACGAGGCGGCGCACGTGTGCAGCGACTTCCGGCCGACGGCGAAGCAGCTATGGAAGCCGGCGGTAGGGGTGATGGAGCTCGGTATCCTGGGGGCTCGCGGCCTGATTCCCATGAAGACCAGGGGCGCCGGCGGGGGCGGCGCCAAGGGCTCCACCGACGCCTACTGCGTCGCCAAGTACGGTAAGAAATGGGTACGGACGCGTACCATCACCGACAGCTTCGACCCGCGCTGGAACGAGCAGTACACTTGGCAGGTGTACGACCCTTGCACGGTCCTCACCATCGGCGTGTTCGACAACTGGCGCATGTTCGACGCAGCGGGCAACCGGCAAGACTACCGGATCGGCAAGGTCCGGATCCGGGTATCCACCCTGGAGAGCAACCGGGTGTACACCGCCTCGTACCCGCTGTTGCGGCTTCTGCCGTCCGGGGTCAAAAAGATGGGGGAGGTGCAGCTGGCCGTCCGCTTCGCGTGCGCCGGTCTGCTCCCGGACACCTGCGCAATGTACGCGCAGCCGATGCTCCCCCGGATGCACCACCTACGACCCCTCGGCGTGTTGCAGCAGGATGTGCTGCGGGTGTCGGCGATCATATTGGTGAGCGAGTGGCTAGAGCGGTCGGAGCCGCCGCTGGGGCAGGAGGTGGTGCGGTACATGCTCGACGTGAACTGGCACTCGTGGAGCAACCGACGGAGCAAGGCCAATTGGTTCCGGATCATGGGCGTCATCGATTGGGCCTTCGGGCTGGCGCGGTGGATCGACGACATCCGGCGGTGGCGGAACCCAACCACCACGGTGCTGGTGCACGTGCTGTACCTGGTGCTGGTGTGGTACCCGGAGCTGGTGGTGCCCACGGCATCGCTCTACGTGTTCCTCATCGGGGCGTGGTACTCCCGCTTCCGGCCGCGGGCGCCCGCGGGGATGGACGTGCGGCTGTCGCAGGCGGACATGGTGGATGCGGAAGACCTGGACGAGGAGTTCGACCCAGTGCCGAGCACGAAGCCGGCGGAGGTGGTGAGGGCGCGATACGACCGGCTGAGGATACTGGCGGCGCGGGTGCAGAGGCTGCTGGGGGACTTGGCGGCGCAGGGGGAGCGGGTGCAGGCGCTGGTAAGCTGGAGGGACCCCCGGGCGACGAAGCTCTTCATCGGGGCGTGCCTAGCGGTGGCGCTGGTGTTCTACGTGGTGCCACCCAAGATGATCGCGGTAGCGCTCGGCTTCTACTTCCTGCGCCACCCCATGTTCCGGGACCCCATGCCGCCGGCCAGCCTGAACTTTTTCCGCCGCCTCCCCAGCTTGTCCGATCGGATGCTGTAGTCGTCGTCTCGGGCATCACACCCGAGACTTTGTGGTGCATTCCAAGAAGCAGGGTGGCAGTTGGAAGGAAGACGAACTACCAAAATGAAGATGTAATCACCATTTAGTTGGGGCGGATTAATTTTAAAGAATAAGACACGTATGCAAAATTTCACATTGTTTAGTAGATCAGTGGCTATAACGACTAAAATGAAAGGATTGTGTCACCTCAGCAGCAAACAAAGAGGAAGAATGGGATCTGCCAAAAGGAGCCAGCGAGTGGCTAACAGAATTGGAGGACAGGAATATGAGAGAGCCTTGCAACCTTTAGCTGCTCAAAGAGAGGTAAAATGGCGAAACAAAATGCTCCTCAAGCACCAAGGGATTGAAGATGGACGAACGGTGTAGAGATGCA